TCAAGAGCAGCGGTCTAGCTTTGCCAGATGGTTTTCTGAAAAGTGCACATCCGATCCAGCCTTTCTGGAGAACATTTGGTTCAGTGATGAAGCGCACTTTCACCTTGATGGCTACGTGAACACCCAGAACTGCAGGATTTGGGCCGCTGAACGACCTGATATCGTGATGGAAAAGCCACTCCACAGCCAGAAGGTCACGGCGTGGTGCGCTTTCAGCGCCAAAGGCATCATCGGACCCATTTGGTTCCAGAACCAAGACGGATCGACAGCCACCATCACCAAAGAGCGGTACACAACAACGCTCAATCGCTTCTGGAAACGCTTACAAGCTCAACACCAGACACAGCTAAACTTCTTCTGGTTCCAGCAGGACGGTGCGACGCCTCACACCTTCAACATCGCCCTCGAGTGGCTGGAGACGCACTTCTGTGCCCGCGTGATCAGCCGGAAAACGGCGCACCCCTGGCCGGCGCACTCCCCGGATCTAACGCCGCTCGACTTCTACCTCTGGGGGTATCTGAAGAGCCGCGTCTACCAAGGCAGCCCCCAAACACTCTCAGATCTAAAGGCTGCCATCGGGCGTGAAGTCCGCAGGATTCCTCTTGCCACCTGCGCCCGAGTGGTAGCAGAAGTCAAGCACAGGGCTGATCTGTGCCTGTCGCGAAATGGACGCCATCTGGAGCACGTGCTCCACTGACTGCACCTGTCACGTTATGCCATGCTGGCTGCCTCCAAACAAATCTCCATGAAATGCTGCTTCTTTTGATGCAATAAACATGTGTCTGCGTTACCAAGTTTTTAAATAACTCAGAAAACAAATGTGAGACACTTTTCTGAATCACCCTGTACTTAACAGCAGGTCACGTGGTGCTTCTTTGTTTGGTGTACTTATCCATGGGTCAGGTCAAATGAGGTCAACTGAGGTCAACTGACGTTTTTGCCAATAACTTGGCACATAATGACGCTAGAGCTTAAAAATGGTATCATTGTGTTCCTGGTGATCAGCCGAATCGAATGATATGCGATATGATGAAATTTGGTTAACTTGAACTTAATAAGTTAATTAAAGTTTGCTTAAAAATTAAGAAAAAAAACTTTAAGTACACTTAAGCAAACAACAAAGTATATCATTCGACGCGCCTTGACGTGCTGCGTTCACTGGTGCTTTCATCTTTTCTCTATGGTAATTGGATCAAACGTTATAAGCGAAAAACTTTTGGCCTGTTTTTAGCAAAAGTTTTACATTTATGCCCCCCAAAACCCCCCTATATATTGACCTAGAGCAACCAAATTTGCACAGGGGCGAGAACTCCAGGGGGCCCACCTACCTACCAAATTTGGTGTTTCTAGGTGCCATAGGAGCCAATCGCGAGGGGGGGGTCGCATCAACCCCCCCCCCCCTGCCAGGCCGTGTTATGAAAAATACCCTGCCAGGGCGAGGGTTAAAGGGACCCTCCCACCTTCAAAAAAGTTTATGAATTTGCATGAAAGTGATGTTGCTCGGTTCAGAAAGAGCGAAAACGAATATCTACCAAATTTCACCGAAAAATATTCACCGGTTTTCAAGATATTAGACTTTTACTTTTGTTTACTTTTTGGGATCGCCGCTGTTCCTAGCGACTTTATTTGGAAGCAATAGTTTGGCAGCTGAAAGTGCGGCACTTGTTGCGCGCAAAGCAGCATATACCACCGGGTGCTACAAAACGTTTTAGTCAAACGCCGCCCCCCCCCCCCATAGGGGTTTTTCGGACACTGGCGATAGAGAGCTGAAACTTGGCATTGCTGACCTTTGGTTCAAGCCGGATCTTTTGACAGCAACCGCATTTTTGGGTCAGGTCAGGTCACTGACCTATGACGTCATAAGTGAACCTCTGCACGGTCTTCAGATGTCGCAACTTCGCAACGCCCTCACTGCCAGAGGAGATGTCACAGGGAAATGAAACTTGCAGGATCTAGTATCCATTATGAGTCTACCAACTTGTATATCTCGGATTTTTCCTAAAGGTCATATGAGGTCAGGTCATTTTCGTGACCTCACCATTATAAGTCAATGGGGAAAAATGAAAACTGCTATTCTGGCGCCGGGAACGATCTCCAACTATCTCAAGCACACAGAATCGTGATTTGATGCACTCCTTGCAAGGTTAGATGCGTCACTTTGAACCTGCTACCTTTCAAGGTCAGGTCACCAGGTCACTTTGAATGACCCAACCTCAAGTCACTTTTTTGCAACTTTGTCACCGTGCCAGAGCTACAGTAGATGTCGGAGGCCTTTGAAAGTCGCAGGATGTTATTAGGTCATTAGTAGCTACAATTTGTATATCTCGGAATTTTGATATCGGTGACCTAAGGTCAGGTCAATTTCGCGACCTCCCCATTATAAGTCAATGGGGGAAAAATCAACTCCCTGTTTTTACCACTAAAACGGGTCGGAATGGCCCCATATACCATACATGACTTCATATACGGTCAACCTTCACTACCTTGAGGTCTGTTTTGCTGTTGGGCAGCTGTGAGGTCATGTGACGTCATCAAATGTCACCAAAGGTTTTTGGCCAATAACTCCGTACAGGAACAAGATACAGACGCGTGGATGGTCTCATTGTGTTCAGCTCGTCAAGACGCATCGAATGATATACATGATGACCTCGAGGTCACGTGACCTGAGGTCAACCTTTGACCTTGACCTTTCGAGGTCAACATATATATCATTCGATGCGGATTGACGAGAGGATCACGATGATGCCCTTAGTTTGTTCCTATCTTGACTAATTCGAAAGTTATTCGAGAAAAACTCTCTCCATATTTAGCGCCGCCATTTTGACTTTTTCGACCCCTGTGACGTCATCTTTGACCTGACCTGAAAATGACCTTTGTAAAAATTGTAGATCTTGACCGTGCGTATCCGATGCCGTTTACCGCTTGTCGCTATCTTGCTTCGTTCTCGAGATCTCAGGGGGGGGCGGTCATCCGCCCCCCCCCCCCCCCGTCGGTACTAAGTTGGCGCAGACCCCCGTCGGTGCGCGGGTTAAAATTTGACATTTTTTACCTAAAAGTGGCCTGACCGGTTCACGGCTCCGGGGGCGGCGAAGCTGACCTGTCACGGCTCCGGGGGCGGCGGAGTCACTGTCCGGGCCCTGGAGTCCCGTCGAGTCGCTGCCCTGGCGCTGGAGTCCCGTCGAGTCGCTGCCCCGGCGCTGGAGCTCCGCCGAGTCGCCAACCGTCCGGCTGATACCGCGGCTCGAGACGGGGAGCAGGTGGCACCGAGCCCACGCACTCGGCACACGCGGCGATACGCGCGCGACACACACACACACACACACACACACACACACACACACACACACACACACACACACACACACACACACGCGCACGCACGCACGCACGATCTCTCTCTCTCTCTCTCTCTCTCTCTCTCTCTCTCTCCTCTCTCTCTCTCTCTCTCTCTCTCTCTCTCTCTCTCTCTCTCTCTCTCCTCTCTCTCTCTCTCTCTCTCTCTCTCTCTCTCTCTCTCTCTCTCTCTCTCTCTCTCTCTCTCTCTCTCTCTCTCTCAGTTTGTACTAGATAGGTACGCACCAGCCACGTGCACGGGCGGCTTCCACATCGGAACTGCACGGCTGCGGCCGGCGCGGATCCCACGTCAGCATGGTACTTACATACGTGCACCGTTGGGGAGAGGATTTATTTTCTACACGACGGTACCTCAATCGGCTGTGCCGTTCCAGTCGGAGGCCGGGCGACCGAGCAATACGCCGAGCAAGCGGCCCACACCGTCGGCGAGCTCTTCTTAACGCTCTTAGTCACAGAAATAGGTCTGTCGCTGAAACGAATTATTAACCCGCGAGTTGCTGGGGGGGGGGGGCGTTAAACGCCCCCACTTTTTTCGCCGGACCATAAATTTTGGGTACCTGTAGGGAATCGATTTAAGTTTATTGTGACAAAGTTTCAAAAAAATCGGTCGGAAAATTTTTGAGATATCGAGGTTTTAGTGACGTCATGATTTCCGAGCTTTCGACCAAAAACGGCATATGTTCAAAAAATCATATAAAATCACAGAATAGACATACAGACATGCCGTAAACGCCATTAGACTGTCAGTACCATGAGCAATCAAATGGCTATCTTCGATTATTGATTATCGTTCCGCATTTTCCATAATCTTGAACTGAATCTTGGCAATTTCTCGTGACTACTTCACGACCATGATACATGCATTTCTTAAATTGAACTTTTTGAGCCAAAGACGTACACATATGATAAAATGAATGTCACCATCGTGTTCCACGCCCCAAATTACCTATAAAACATGTGTCACAGGCTGCGAATATCAGTTTTGATTTTCGGGGATATGTGCCTACCCGCTTGACCTGACCTTGACCCTGACCTATGCTTGACTGACCCCTACATGGAGCTGACACTCTTGTAGGCCTTATATGATGAATTGTGAACCGTTTTGACAGAGTTTATGACGAGAGGCGCCCATTGCGAAGTCCTGAAGTCCATGCTACTGAAAGCCCGATTTCAGGTGTTTGACCTGAGCCTGACCTTGACCCGACCTGTGACCTCAAAATTCAATTTTAAAGTACTCATCTGAAGTGTCTCGTCGCGCTCTTTCGTTTGCCGCCTCGTGCGTTTCGCTGCGCCTATTGGTTCTCGAGTTATCGGCTGGGGGCGTTTAACGCCCCCCCCCCCCCCCCCAGCAAACGGTGGGTGGCGAAATACCCCAGCAACTGCCGGGTTAACTTCTCCCAATTGATGAAAAAGATTTACAGCTGCGGTGGCAGGTTTGCATGCGCCTGCGGCGCTGCAACTCCGACGGCACAGTGGCACAAGTGTACCTTTAGCAGTCTGATGCCGGCAATTTGTCAGCCGAGCCACTCGGAGCTGGCTGTCAGGGCGCTGATTGCCCCCTGGCTGCGGTCACGACACCTCGGCAGGGGACATGGGCTATAAAGTGGGCGGCCGGGCGTCCCTCCTCACCGCTCGGCCATGGCTGGTCTGCGCCGCGTGCTGCTGCTGTCGGTGCTCGCGGTAGCTGTCGAGGCTCGTCCCGGCCGGGCCGGGCAGCCCGAGCCGCCGCCCGTGCCGCCGTTCCGCCTGCTGCCGCCATTGAATGTCACTCTGCCCGACGGCACAGTTCGGGAGCTGTTCGAAGGAGACATCCTACTCTCCAAAGAGCAGCGCCTCAGCCGCAAGGGTCTCCTCAGCCAGACCTGGACGAACGGCGTCGTGCCGTTTGTTATCACATCGTCTTCGTCCAGCGAGAGCTCCGTCATCCTGGCGGCCATCGCCCACTGGGAGGCGGTGACGTGCATCACTTTCCAGCAGAAGTCGGAGAGCTACAGCGGCGGACCACACGTGCGCTTTATCAAGAGCGATGGGTGCTGGTCGGCCATGGGTATGACGAACTCGAGCAGCGGCCAGCTACTCAGCGTCGGCGACGGGTGCCAGTATCTGGGCGTGGTGGCGCACGAGATCGGCCACGCCATCGGCTTCTTCCACGAACAGTCCCGCGGTGACCGGGGCAACCACGTGACCGTGGTCTGGGACAACATCAAGAGCGAGATGGCCTTCAACTTCCGTATCGAGACGGCCGCGCAGTGGCTCGGCGTGCCGTACGACCTGGGATCGCTGATGCACTACGGTGGGTTCGGCTTCACAAGTAACGGGTTCCCAACCATCGTCACCAATGACATCCTGCAGTCGGGACTGATTGGGAATCTCGAGGGTCTCTCGCACCGCGACAAGCACCTGGCCAGCCTGATGTACCTCTGCGACGACAGCTGCTCGTCCCCGCCCACCTGCGCCAACGGCGGCTACGTGGACAGCAGCTGCACGTGCGTGTGTCCTCCGGGAACCAGCGGCACCACGTGCCAAACCGTCACGGGCACCTACTACGAGGCGCCGTGCGGCGACCAGGACATCACCACGGCCGGCACCATCACCTCGCCCGACTACCCCAACCTGTACCCTCCCGGACAGCACTGTGTCTGGATCGTCACCGCGCCCGCAGGCCAGCGGGTCCGCATTCAGTTCGGCACCTTCAAGATCCTCTACCGCTACGATGTCAAGTGTCCCTGGGACTGGGTGACCGTGCACACCGACAGTGACTCGATTCCAGACTACGTCAACTGCGGCACGGAGCTGCAGAATCAGGTGATCACGTCGTCCGGCGGTCGGCTGGCCCTGGAGTTTCACAGCTATGGTGGCGGCTCCTACCCAACTCTTCAGTCGGGCTTCACGGCGAGCGTCACGTTCGTCTGATAGACAGACCACGGCGAGCGTCACGTTCGTCTGATAGACAGACGACGCCGGCCAACAGCCTCCCAGTGGTAGACAGACGACGCCGGCCAACAGCCTCCCAGTGGCAGCCCCCGCCTGCGCTGCCAGCTGCCGTCTGCTCCACTTCTCTCTCACCTGGTAGTACCTATAGGAAAAAATTTAAATAGCAGTTGCCGGTCTATTTTCCGATTGTTTGGAACACGTTCATCGACGTATTCATTTTTGCTTGCAATTTCTGTTAATGTAAAAGAACATCGTTTTTGCTACCTGCGTTTTTTCACGTAACAATAAATTGTCCGTTTATTTCATGTGCACTTGTTTGCTAAGGTCTAGGGATATGAACATGTTAAGATAGGGGAAGGTGGGGGAACACCGCCCTTTGGGGAACACCGCCCACCCCGATATCAGAAATATAAAAAGGTCTAGGGCGACAGCTGACTGTCTTTTGGCAGCGTGACGACAACAGAAGTGCAGGTATGGGCAGTGCACCGCATTGGTTTTGGTGATTTGCGAGAAATTCCGAATTTTACGTTTCGACTTTCGTGAATACGTTTATACTTTTTTATATCATAATAAGCAGAAGAAAACTTATCTTATTTGACAGACATTAGTCCTGAAGTACCTAGTATTTTTTGCCATAATTAGGACTCATCCAAGCATTACGTGCTCCTGCTCGAGTAAAATTGTTGTGCTGCCATATTGAAGGATTTTTTGCACCGACGGGGGGGGCGGATATCCGCCCCCCTGAGGTTTTTCGCGAATAGCGGGAAAACCGCAGGGCGTAGCGCCGCGAAATTTGGTACGACTATTCTCTCATCAATTTTACACATGGTGTGCAAGTTTGAACCTCCTATCTTTTAAGGTCAGGTGACCAGGTCACTTTGAATGACCCAACCTCAAGTCACTTTTTTGCAACTTTGTCACCGTGCCAGAGCTACAGTAGATGTCGGAGGCCTTTGAAAGTCTCAGGATGTTATAAGGTCATTAGTAGCTACAATTTGTATATCTCAGAATTTGGATATCGGTGACCTAAGGTCAGGTCAATTTCTCGACCTCCCCATTATAAGTCAATGGGGGGAAAATCAACTCCCTGTTTTTACCACTAAAACGGGTCGGAATGGCCCCATAAACCATACATGACCTCATATACGATCAACCTTCACTACCTTGAGGTCTGTTTTGCTGTTGGGCAGCTGCAAGGTCGCGTGACGTCATCAAAGGTCACCAGCGGTTTTTTGACAATAACTCCGTACAGGAACAAGATACAGCCGCGCGGATGGTCTCATTGTGTTCAGCTCGTCAAGGCGCATCGAATGATATACATGATGACCTCGAGGTCACGTGACCTGAGGTCAACCTTTGACCTTGACCTTTCGAGGTCAACATATATATATATATATATATATATATATATATATATATATATATATATATATATATCATTCGATGTGGATTGACGAGAGGATCACGATGATACACTTAGTTTGTTCCTATATTGACTAGTTCGAAAGTTATTGGAGAAAAACTCTCCCTATACCTAGCGCCGCCATTTTGACTTTTTTGACCCCTGTGACGTCATCTTTGACCTGACCTGAAAATGACCTTTGTAAAAATGGTAGACCTTGTCCGTGCGTATCCCTTGCCGTTTACCGCTTGTCGCTATCTTGCTTCGTTCTCGAGATCTCAGGGGGGCGGTCATCCGTCCCCCCCCCCCGTCGGTACGAAGTTGGCGCAGACCCCCGTCGGTGCGCGGGTTAAGAAAAACACAGACAAATGGGTATTGGTAACACCGACCGCTTGGGACATTTGACATTTAATCTCACATTGTGACACCTAACCCAGGAGTGTCGCATTTCAAATAAAGAAAGAACGTTGTTGCTATGTTTTCTTTTTAGAGGATAATGAAAAAGTTCGAAAAAATGAAATTTTGGGAAGGTCGTCTATAGTTATATAAATGAGTAGGTACCTACTACTTACTACATTGTACCAGGGAAATCATAAAATCGTTTCCATTGTATTTTATAAATATAGGTACTAAAACGCTTCGAAATTTACGATCAGAAGAACAACTTACTCCAGAGTTGCTGGGGGGCGGGGCGTTAAACGCCCTCACTTTTTTCGCCGCGCTATAGCATAAAAATGGCGCACCTGCGGTGCACCAAAATTTGGGTACCTGTTGGGAATTGATTGATGTTTATTGCGACAAATTTTCAAAAAAAATCGGTCGGAAATTTTTTGAGATCTCGAGGTTTTAGTGACGTCATGATTTCTGAGCTTTCGACCAAAAACGGCATATGTTCAAAAAATCATATAAAATCACAAAATAGACATACAGAGATGCAGTAAACGCCATTAGACTGCCAATACCATAAACAATCAAATGGCTATCTTTGATTTTTGATTATCGTTCTGCATTTTCCAAAATCTTGAACTGAATCTTGGCAATTTCTCGTGACAACTTCACGACCATGATACATGCAGCATTTATTTCATTGAATTTTGTTAACCAAACACGTGGGGGAAAGTGGGGTAAGACGGTCAGGGCAGGTAAGACGGGCACCTCTTCTGCAGACCAAGCCAATAGCGCTACGAGCGAGAAAAATTAGGACCAGAATTGCCTTTCCCACTACACACCACCATTGAAGTCTGGGGAATTTATGTTCAGTCGATAATCTTTTATTTTGATTTCTTTAACCCGATTAGTGGCAGGCTCCTGGCTACCCCTATTAGTGGCAGGGGGGCTGTTTACGACCCCCCCTTGATATCTCGAGATCTAACGGGCCGATTTTCAAAATTCAAACGGCATTCGATTTCGCTCAACGTGATCTACATTAAAAAAAAAATTAAAAAATGTCAATAGGGGGGTTAGAGGGGGGTAAAAACGGGCAAATTGCAGATACATTTTAGACTGTTTATCACGGCCAGGTTTCTGAACCAATCTTAACGCAACTTTTGCCGATCGATAGAGAATGAACCAGGAATTCACATGGATCCTAAAAATATGCATTTTCAAAAATCATAGGCGGATACAGATCATTGAGATTGGGGGTACACAAAAAGTATAGTAAATAAGGTTTTTGTTGGTACTGTTTCTAAAGAGGGCTGGTAATGGTCTTGTTATGTTACAATTTCCTTATGAGAGAACGACTACAATTGTATTGGTCATGCATAGGCGGTGTCAGGGCACCTATGTTGGGAGGTAAAACATAACCCCCCTTTTTGGACGCCTGGATCCGCCTATTATAGCAAAAACGTGTCAAAAGAGGATGCACAATAACTGTATACCTATGTTATCACATGATACCTCCCATTCACTGTTCGTAGAACTGGTGCAGCATCGTGATCTTCGCCCAAATGACTCGCTTCACGAATAGGACCCCCCAATTGCCAGTGCTCTGGAGCCGCCCCTGGTAAAGTTATGAACTTGAAATTTGCAGGGAATGTGCCCAATTTAGTTTTAGGAAAAGTCAGAAAATTTCAGCATCGTAGCTTCAGCGGTTTCGGAGATATTCCCGAAAAACCTGAGGGGTGGATAAAAACAACCCCCCTGCCACTAATAGGGTTAACCCGCGCCCTGCTGGGGGTCCTGGATTTCCACGCTCTGCTGGGGGGTGTTTGAACACCCCCCCCCCCCTTGTAACTCGGCTCCTGGGCCACGTAGCGATACGCGGAAGGCGGCGTTCGAAAGAGCGTCAAAAATAATGACGAAATCACTTCGGTCAATTTTTTGGTCAGGTCAAAGGTCAGGTCACCAGAGGTCATTGAAGGCAAAATTTCGCCAATTTCCAGGTCGAATGTCGAAAATTTCCAAGAAGCCAACGCATAACTCGGGAACCAATAGAGCTACAGAGCCGCGGAAAAGCGCATTCGATAGCCCTATTAACGCCCTTTCTGAGTAATTCTCTCAGATTTGACCTAACGTCAACGGTTTTGCCTGCAGGGGGCAAAAACTACAAAAATAGCCGATTTTTTCGAAAACAGTTTTTCTGCAATAACTTTTGACCCAAGCCTTGTACAAGCTTACTTTTACCGGCATCGTGTTCCTCTCGTCAAGACGCATCGAATGAATTATAACTTGACCTTGAAAGGTCAACTTGAAAATTTGACCTTAGGTCAAGGTCATGACCTGACCGGAAAGGGTCATGTTGCATATCAGTCGATCCGTATCGTCGAGCTGAACACATCTAAGGCGTTTTCATCGCTCTAGCATGCCTCTATCAAAAGTTATTTGCGAAAAACTGTTAGATACCATTCGTGACCTAAGATGACCTCAGGGCATAAACAAGGGTCACGGACACCATTTTCAAGTTCAGTGTGTCTAAACCACTTGTAATTCGGTGTTTGGGAGTGTTTATAATGTCTTTCATCCAAAAGAGGCGCATTTCAATTTTCTCCCATTGACTTATAATGGGGAGGTCGCAAAATTGACCTGACCTTAGGTCATCGATATCAAAATTCTGAGATATACATTTTGTACATGCTATTGCCCTTAGCAATCGCTGAAAGTTTCAAAGCGATCGGTCACTCGGTGTAGCTATGACAGACATTGAAAGTTTTTATGAGGTGAGGTCACTTCAAGTGACCTGGTGACCTGACCTTGAATGACCTTGGTCTGAAATTTTCACAACATGTGTAGAACTGATGTATGATAAGGTGTACCAAAAATTGGTATACGGACATATTACATCCTCCTCATTACAAATATCATAAAAGTTAAGCTCGGCCCGCCATATTTTTCAAGTAACGGAGTCACAAAGTTACGGAATTTCAAGGTCATTCGGAGAGCCCCTCCGATTTTTGTCAAAATTTGTATGCGGACACATTACATGCTCCTCATTACGAATATCGTAAAAGCTAAGCTCGGCCCGCAATATTTCAAAAGTTACTGACGTTTGAAACTCACTGAAATTCAAACAGCTCTAACTTTTGATTTTATGATATTTGTAATGAGGAGGATGTAGGAATATGTCCGTATACCAATTTTGACGGAAATCGCAGGGGCTCACCCAAATCACCTTGAAATTCAAACCTCCGTAACTTCGTAAATATGGCGGGCCGAGCTTAAATTTTGTGATATTCGTAATGAGGAGCATCTAGAGTGTCCGTACACAAATTTTGACGGAAATCGCAGGGGCTCTCCCGAATGATCTTGAAATTCAAACATCCGTAACTTCGTAAATATGGCGGGCCGAGCTTAGATTTTGGGTGCATCGTAATCAGGACGTTACGTACTATCCACTGACCAAGTTTGGTCCAAATCGTAGGGGCTCACCTGATTCCGAATCTTAGATTATAGATTAGGATTCACTTACATCTAACTTGACGACCGTTAAAACCTGGTAGTGGCCGAGAGGCCGAGAAGAGGGGGGCGGGGAGAGGGGTGCCGCCTCCACATGTCTATTTGCTGCGAGAGCTGAAATTTTGCACACCTGACCTTTGATTCCATCCGAAATTGTATGACAGCAGCTGTATTTTAACCCTCGCTCATATTGGTGTTTTGCCAGCGTCTAGCGTAAAGGGGAGGGGGTCCGTTGGACCCCCTTGCCGTTCAGCCCCTGATCGAGCTAGAGCTTCACGGAAAAAGAGCGTGTTGCCCGTGACGAGAGGAGGCCGTTGATACCCAATTTTAAGGTCCTAGTGCAGGTGTGTAAGAGTGGCTATATGAATCCATTGTGGGGTCGCCCTTTCCAATAAGTGTCACGTAACAGCAATGGGACCAGGGGCTCTATATGAACTGGACCCAGGGTGCTCGCCAAGAAGACCAATGTCTCCATCCTATCATCCTTCCGGCTCTGAAATGGTCTTGTCAGACCGAAAGGGCATAACCCAACAAAACATACTAAATGCGATAACAGCTGGCTGCGTGGTGTAGTGGTTAGCGCACCAACCTCGCGCTCAGATGACACGGGGTTCGAATTCCATCGCCGGCTGATGCTTTTGGCGTGTTGTCCCAGTAATCATGCCGACGTCGGCGACTGGGGGGCTCGAATCCCGCCGCCGGTTGATATTTTTGGCGCGTTGTCCCAATAAACATGCCGACGTCGGCCCCGTCGGTCCAACGACAAATGATCGCGTCAACCTCGGCAAACGACCTCGGCCCGACGTCGGCTCGACGTCGGCTGGACTTCGGCTGGACGTCGGAACATGCGGGCATATCCGACGTCCAGCCGATGTCGGGCCGAGGTTGAACTGTCGTTGGGCCGACGTCGGGCCGAGACTCGGCCGTCGGCATGTTTACTGGGAGCTTATCGGTGTCGGGCGGCGTGTGGGGCGCCGCTTAGCCTATGGGGGTGCACTTTGTGATGGGGGTGCACTTTTAGGGGATGGGGGTGCACCTTCACCCCCATAATATAGAAAGTTACACCGCTGGGTATATGCCTATGCTGCTTTGAGCGCAACAAAGCCGCACTTTCAAGCAAAGTCGTAGGAACAGCGGGGATCCCAAAGAGTAAACAAAAGAAATTAGAAAAAAGTATAACATCTTTAAAACCGATGAATATTTTTCGATGAAATTTGGTAGACAATCGTTTTCACTCGTTCTGAACCGAGCGACATCACTTTCAAGTTTCATGCCAATATATTAACTTTTTTTGAAGGTGGGAGGGTCCTTGCATTATTTGTCATTTCTTAGTGTAATTAAAAAACATGTGCTGACAATGGCGCAGCTACTCGCCCACTGAACTCTATAATGTGGAATGCGCATCGGCCGCCAGATGGTGTCCAACGGTGCCGCCATGTTGCGCAGACCAGGAAGCGGCCGCCGCCTGTGTTGGGGAATGGGGATGTTCGCGCTAAGAGTTCCGAAAAGTCTCGCCAGGTGGCAGCACGGTATGCTTTGGACACAACGCGCCGGCCGGCAGGCCGGGCCGGGGATAACACTGCGGGCGGCGACGGCGGCCGACGCGCCGCGAACGGAAACTGCGTTTCATGCCTTTTTCAGGTTCATCATTTTGCTAAAATGAGTAGCTACAGTTGATTTCGATATTAGGAAGACAATGACGCGTGTGAAAGGCAAACTACTACATTGTCATTGAGCGGAAGGAAAGGGAGCTGGTCGAATGGTCACCAAAAGCTACAGAGTACGAAAGATACGATGTTATCACATATTTTAACTTACACAGTTGAAATTAAAAACCTTGTTACATTCAGACATATATTCACACGCATGAAACAATCGATTTACAACACACATTCCATGACAAGAACGCATACCTACGGTCTTAAGTTGACCTCTAGCGCTCGTCACTGTCAGATAAGTCAATCACATCCCTGTAGTTTGTACAGACTATTGACTTAACCCTTCATCCGGCATGCGTTCATTCTGTAATGATGGGCAACGAATGACATCAAAAAGTCATCTCCTCTTCCCAACAACATCGGCGTCTTCCAAGGTTCTGCTCTCGGCCCTCTGCTCTACTGCGTCTTCGCGAACGACTTATCCTTGTTCACCGGAGATGCAGTGGTAGCACAGTACGCCGATGACACACAAATTCTGGTCTCTGGCAAAAAATCTGACATGCAAAGCGTGGTCAGGAAGATGGAAGCAGTGCTGACTTCCATCGACCTTTGGTTCCAGGCCAACGGCCTCAAAGTTAACGCAGGAAAAACTCAGCTGATGTTGTTGGGAAGCTCTCAAAATCTGCGCAACGTTCCCGGCCTCTCTGTCAAATTCCGCGATCATGATTTACTCCCTGTCTCGGAAGTTAGAAATCTCGGTTTAACATTCGATAGCACGCTCAGCTGGACTAGTCACATTTCTTCTCTCACAAACCGCTGTTTCGGAACCCTTCATGGTCTATCACATCTAAGGAACCACCTCCCACCATCGTCTGTCACCGTCATCGTCCAAGCCCTCGTTCTCTCGCAGGTCCGATACTGCATCTCAGTATACGGCAACTGCACGCAGACAAACCTCTCTCGGCTCCAAAAAATAATTAACTATGCTGCAAAGGTGATTTTCGGCCGCAAAAAGTACGACCATGTATCGGACCTGCTGGATAACTTGGGCTGGCTCAGCGCTGAGCAGCTTGCTCAGTATCACTCTCTGTGCCTGCTGCACAAGGTGCGGCGATCAGGCGAGCCAGAAACCCTGGCTGCCCAGCTGGTGCAGGTATCGCAGACGCGGCAGCGATCCACCAGACAGGACCGCAATCTGTCAGTCCCACGATCGCGGACAGCGATGGGGCAGCGCCGGTTCTGCTGCCGGGCGCCCCTCGCCTACAACCAGCTCCCGTCAGAACTGACGCGTCTCCCGGCCCACCTATTTGGTCGGCACCTCCAATCCCACCTACGGGGAGGCGAGGTGACTTAGACAGCGGCCATGAGTCTGTATGAGTGCATGTGTATGTTTGTTTGTGTGTACGGGCTTTGAGCGTATTTATCACGTTATTTTATGTTATGTCTCCCATGCAGAGTTTTAGCCCTGTACGAGCGGCCGTAATAGCCACGAGTGTATCGTGGATGGCTTCAATACACGTCTATGTCTATGTCTATGACCGGCGATTTCTGCGTGGCTCTATATGACATCCTCGTCCGTTCCCCAGGTCAATTGGTTCGGTGACTTTCAAATTATAGCAGGCCCTTCCTCAATCTTCGGTCAGGCTTGATGGATCCACCGTCACTTTGCGCGGTACTTTTAAGACAGACTGTACCTTCTACCAACACCACTGACTGGTTACAATCTGATGCGAAAGGGACAATATCTCGTCGGTCTATCAGTTAAAGTTTAATATTCAGCGACACAAGTGTGAAGGCTGCCTGGAAAACTTGCAACAAACTAAGTAAAATAAGCTTGGCTTGTAATGGGCACAAACTTGTAATAAAGAGGTACTTAATTAACAAATCCACAATGTTCCGTTCAGGCAAGTAGCCTTCACATATGAAGCATTGCTATGACTACTCTTCTAGAGCTGATTGATAACTTTTGAAGGAAGGAGCCGAGTGGCTGAGCCCTACCATTCACCACTTATCACCTTCAACAATTGCTTAAGGCATGCAGTTCTCTATCACTAGAAAATGTCTGACAATTTGCTGGCTCTCATTTGTGTATGATGCAACACGCTTTGCATCAGTGATACTATGACACGAAATGTTGAACACTAGCATAGGTTGCAATGTAGATCCAAGGTGTCCCAGAAGCCAGAGCAAAAATTGACACCTTAATCAACTTCATGATTGTGGCAAAACTCCACTGCTTGACTACACAGAGCACCAACTGTTTGCTCCTCTAAACTTTCACCAAAGAAAGTGCTGCTGATGTCATTTGTAGCAGCAGTGACACTGGTAACTTCAAATCACAGGATCTGGTAGCATCCATGCTCTTGAATCTGGATCTTATCAATGCAGCATTGCACCTGTGAATAAATGAAAAATGGCATAAGACAGTAGGGAAAGATCTTGGCAAGTCATAATGAGATACATATGTTTAACATGCATGGATAAAAGGACATTATATACTGAAGCAATTAGCAAAACATTACAGTTTAAGCACAGTTGAAATCTGATATGATGAACTGGATACAGTGACATCATCAAGACCCATGAACTTTACACAAAGTATTTGCAATTTTGAAATGCACTTTTATTGCAGTTGCCTATACAAATATTCTAGGTGAAAATTTATTTTAAAAAACAACAAAAAACTTGCCCGTATTTAGTTGCTAAAAAGGCTGAGTGAATATTCTAAAATAGTGTTCACTTCAGTGTGAATCAAAACTTAGAGTAAACAATTATTTACCTGATGAAATGAAGATATTATATCAATAATGAGTAGCTTTGGGTGATGAGTTAAAAAAAAACATTTTGCAAGAAAGGCCATCAGTGCAGTGCACAAGCTGTTCACCAACTCCTACCTGGTCTTTCAGTGGGATCCCTCTGTATGCACCTCAGAACTTCATCCGCAGGGCTGGTTCCTTCATACGCAGGTCCTCTGCCTTCCTTGATTCCTCGGACTCCATCCTGACAACTCCGCACCAGAAGCATGATTGCACTGGGCACCTGTAACACCATGTAGGATGATCAATACTTGTAACAATTCATAAATAGTAGGTAGCTTAGTGTTCTATTACATATACCTCCTGGTTGCTGGTGTCAAAATAGATCCTATTTGTCTTTTTCTATCATAACCTTTATCTGCATGCAATATCTTTGGTACCAGACAAAGTAGAACACTGCTAAAATGCTTGCAATGAATCTGATAAAAATGCATTGAATTTATATATCATTCTCAGCAGCATGTATCATCTTTTAATGCCTTTCTCAAAGGGCAGGTCAATTTCCTATAGTGATATGCCCATAAACTTATACAGGTAAATTACCTCATATGGACAATACAAGATCCAGCTATGAGTTAAGTTAGACTATTTTGTACTCTTAGTTATGCTCGCCATAAAAAAAATGTCTGGAAACGTGCTACATCGATGGAATTACCGTTTGGGGTCGGTCTATCTTCGGCTACGTCAATTGAAGCCTTTCCAAGTCTCCTGTCCTTTGTAAACTTGCCTTTCCATGTTTGTGACACATGCTGAATATAAATTCACAACCCATCTGAGCAAAATTCAAATCAATTGCTATCAAATTCACCGAAATTCAGCCCCTCGGACCAACACTGCTGTCAATTTAGCAGCACTTTGATTATCCAACTACAGTTTGATATTCAGGTTGCGTCGATTTCGCCCAAACTTGCCCCAGGGACCAAGTCTGACACGTTGAGCACGAATCTGGTGTCAGAAATCCGCTATTCTCAACCGATCACCCAAATTTACCGTTGTTGAGTTCGTCCATCTACAGATTGACAAACTCCAGGGGCCATCGATTTCGCCCAAAAATGGGTCTAGGGGACCAAGTGTGACACGCTGAGCACGAATCTGGTGTCAGAAATCCGCTATTCTCAACCGATCACCCAAATTTACCGTTTTTGAGTTCGTCCATCTACAGATTGACAAACTCCAGGGGCCATCGATTTCGCCCAAAAATGGGTCTAGGGGACCAAGTGTGACACGCTTAGCACGAATCTGGTGTCAGAAATCCGCTATTCTCGACCGATCACCCAAAGTTACCGTTTTTGAGTTCGTCCATCTACAGATTGACAAACTCCAGGGGCCATCGATTTCGCCCAAAAATGGGTCTAGGGGACTAAGTGTGACACGCTGAGCACGAATCTGGTGTCAGAAATCCGCTATTCTCAACCGATCACCCAAAATTACCGTTTTTGAGTTCGTCCATCTACAGATTTACAAACTCCAGGGGCCATCGATTTCGCCCAAAAATGGGTCTAGGGGACGAAGTGTGACACGCTGAGCACGAATCTGGTGTCAGAAATCCGCTATTCTCAACCGATCACCCAAATTTACCGTTTTTGAGTTCGTCCATCTACAGATTGACAAACTCCAGGGGCCATCGATTTGGCCCAAAAATGGGTCTAGGGGACCAAGTGTGACACGCTGAGCACGAATCTGGTGTCAGAAATCCGCTATTCTCGACCGATCACCCAAATTTACCGTTTTTGAGTTCGTCCATCTACAGATTGACAAACTCCATGGGCCATCGATTTGGCCCAAAAATGGGTCTAGGGGACCAAGTGTGACACGCTGAGCACGAATCTGGTGTCAAAAATCCGCTATTCTCAACCGATCACCCAAATTTACCGTTTTTGAGTTCGTCCATCTACAGATTGACAAACTCCAGGGGCCATCGATTTGGCCCAAAAATGGGTCTAGGGGACCAAGTCTGACACGCTGAGCACGAATCTGGTGTCAGAAATCCGCTATTCTCAACCGATCACCCAAATTTACCGTTTTGGAGTTCGTCCATCTACAGCTATTGACAAACTCCAGGGGCCATCGATTTGGCCCAAAAATGGGTCTAGGGGACCAAGTCTGACACGCTAAGCACGAATCTGGTGTCAGAAATCCGCTATTCACAACTGATCACCCAAATTTACCGTTTTTGAGTTCGTCCATCTACAGATTGACAAACTCCAGGGGTCATCGATTTGGCCCAAAAATAGGTCTAGGGGACCAAGTGTGACACGCTGAGCACGAGTCTGGTGTCAGAAATCCGCTATTCTCAACCGATCACCCAAATTTACCGTTTTTGAGTTCGTCCATCTACAGATGACAAACTCCGGCCAGGGGCCATCGATCCAGGGGCCATCCAGGGGCCATAAATTTGGGTGATCGGTCGACAATAGCGGATTTCTGACACCAGATTCGTGCTCAGCGTGTCAGACTTGGTCCCCTAGACCCATTTTTGGGCCAAATCGATGGCCCCTGGAGTTTGTCAATCTGTAGATGGACGAACTCAAAAACGGTAAATTTGGGTGATCGGTTGAGAATAGCGGATTTCTGACACCAGATTCGTGCTCAGCGTGTCAGACTTGGTCCCCTAGACCCATTTTTGGGCCAAATCGATGGCCCCTGGAGTTTGTCAATCTGTAGATGGACGAACTCAAAAACGGTTAATTTTGGTGATCGGTTGAGAATAGCGGATTTCTGACACCAGATTCGTGCTCAGAGTGTCACACTTGGTCCCCTAGACCCATTTTTGGGCCAAATCGATGGCCCCTGGAGTTTGTCAATCTGTAGATGGACGAACTCAAAAACGGTAAATTTTGGTGATCGGTTGAGAATAGCGGATTTCTGACACCAGATTCGTGCTCAGAGTGTCACACTTGGTCCCCTAGACCCATTTTTGGGCCAAATCGATGGCCCCTGGAGTTTGTCAATCTGTAGATGGACGAACTCAAAAACGGTAAATTTGGGTGATCGGTTGAGAATAGCGGATTCCTGACACCAGATTCGTGCTCAGCGTGTCAGACTTGGTCCCCTAGACCCATTTTTGGGCCAAATCGATGGCCCCTGGAGTTTGTCAATCTGTAGATGGACGAACTCAAAAACGGTAAATTTGGGTGATCGGTTGAGAATAGCGGATTTCTGACACCAGATTCGTGCTCAGCGTGTCACACTTGGTCCCTTAGACCCATTTTTGGACGAAATCGATGGCCCCTGGAGTTTGTCAATCTGTAGATGGACGAACTCAAAAACGGTAAATTTGGGTGATCGGTTGAGAATAGCGGATTCCTGACACCAGATTCGTGCTCAGCGTGTCAGACTTGGTCCCCTAGACCCATTTTTGGGCCAAATCGATGGCCCCTGGAGTTTGTCAATCTGTAGATGGACGAACTCAAAAACGGTAAATTTGGGTGATCGGTTGAGAATAGCGGATTTCTGACACCAGATTCGTGCTCAGCGTGTCACACTTGGTCCCTTAGACCCATTTTTGGGCGAAATCGATGGCCCCTGGAGTTTGTCAATCTGTAGATGGACGAACTCAAAAAACGGTAAATTTGGGTGATCGGTTGAGAATAGCGGATTTCTGACACCAGATTCGTGCTCAGCGTGTCACACTTGGTCCCCTAGACCCATTTTTGGGCCAAATCGATGGCCCCTGGAGTTTGTCAATCTGTAGATGGACGAACCCAAAAACGATAAATTTGGGTGATCGGTTGAGAATAGCGGATTCCTGACACCAGATTCGTGCTCAGCGTGTCAGACTTGGTCCCCTAGACCCATTTTTGGGCCAAATCGATGGCCCCTGGAGTTTGTCAATCTGTAGATGGACGAACTCAAAAACGGTAAATTTGGGTGATCGGTTGAGAATAGCGGATTTCTGACACCAGATTCGTGCTAAGCGTGTCACACTTGATCCCTTAGACCCATTTTTGGGCGAAATCGATGGCCCCTGGAGTTTGTCAATCTGTAGATAGACGAACTAAAAAAAAACGGTAAATTTGGGCGATCGGTTGGGAATAGCGGATTTCTGACACCAGATTCGTGCTCAGCGTGTCACACTTGGTCCCCTAGACCCATTTTTGGGCCAAATCGATGGCCCCTGGAGTTTGTCAATCTGTAGATGGACGAACTCAAAAACGATAAATTTGGGTGATCGGTTGAGAAAAGCGGATTTCTGACACCAGATTCGTGCTCAGCGTGTCAGACTTGGTCCCCTGGACCCATTTTTGGGCCAAATCGATGGCCCCTGGAGTTTGTCAATCTGTAGATGGACGAACTCAAAAACGGTAAATTTGGGTGATCGGTTGAGAATAGCGGATTTCTGACACCAGATTCGTGCTCAGCGTGTCAGACTTGGTCCCTGGGGCAAGTTTGGGCGAAATCGACGCACCCTGAATATCAAACTGTAGTTGGATAATCAAATATCGGGGTTACATGAGCACAGTAAATACGTATTTAGCCGCTAATTCGAATTAGGAACGCATTACCGACTCATGTAGCCACCTGCTAGTACGAATCGGCGATCCGATCCGCGGTTACATGAGCAAAGCAAATACGTATCACGATCGGATTCACCGCTAATGCGAATCAGGAGCGTACTACCGACTCATGTATCCACCTGCTAATACGAATCGGTGGTCCAAACAAAATCCGCTGAGAAAGAGGCTTAGAAGCGAATAGGACCAAGATACGTATTACAGGAACTATTTCTTTCCAAAAAGAAACATTAAAATGCAGAATAATAGGTATTTTTTCATTTGCTTCTTTTGTAATAATAATTAAAAAAATATGTCGGTATTTTGTCAATAAATATAGTGAAAACCAAGAAGAAAATATCAAAGTACTTTCAGTTGAAACATTTTTCTGACAGCACTACAGACGAATCAAGAGAGGCAATTGCCCAATGAGTCAAAGCAAGACAACTTTATGTTCAACTTTTTTTTGTTAAGTTAATTGAGAATGTTTTGAGCAGATTAAATGCAAAAAAGACATAAGATATAAAGTTTTTAATTCAGTCACCTCTATTGCTACGGAAGTGCGCCACATTTGTATGCTATTCCGTTTGTAATGCGCATCGGGCCGAGAGCCAAACTAGATCCGTTTGACGTCACTGATACGAATTTGCTCATGTAGTCGGTGCACTGAATGCGTTCTTGGGGAGCTGATGCGGATTAGCGTAGTGCGTATTTGGAACGGATCGCTCATGTAACCGAAACGTCCGAGGCACACGATTCGGGCCGTATTTCACAAGGACTATTCTTTGCTGACTGGAAGCGTCAAAATGCAAAATACTAAGCATTTTTTTATTGGCTGCCTCGTAGAAAATAGCAAAAAAAAAATGTTGGTATTTTGGTTTAGTCTTTGCATGTGAAATAAAATGAATGAAATATTTTTATAGATGATTTTTTCTGACCACCCTGCTGTCGCTGCATGGCGAATCAGTGCCCACTGACTTAAAACAAGAAAACTTTGTTTTCATTTTTTGATTTCATGTTAATTTTAAATGTTTTTGAGCCTATCAAATGATATAAGTATTTAAAATTTAGCTCAGTCGTCCCGGTAAATGCCGCAACTGCGCCATGACTGTACGCTAATCCTATTCCGTTTGTGATACGAATTACCGGCCGTCGAGGAGTCAGCCCGGGTGAGCCAAACAAGATCCGTTTGACGTAGATAAAACGAATTAGTCTCATGTAACCGGTGCCGTAGATCCGTTTGTGGGGAGCTGATGCGCATTAGCGTAGTGCGTATTTGGAACGGATCGCTCATGTAACCCCGGTAAAAGTGCTGCTAAATTGACAGCAGTCGGACCAACACCGCACGGACTCCACACAGTGCAAAACATAGTGGCGCATTCGCCGCCACAGTTTCTGTGTCCAAAGAAGGCAGTGCTGCCACCTGGTGAGGAAATAAGCCGAACATCCCCATTGGGAATTCGGGACCTCGATTTACGTTTGCGGTCGCTGCATCCGTTACAATCAAGCTATGTGGACACGGAACCCGGCATCTTACGCAGAATTGAGTGGAGAATAAGATGAAATCCTAAAAACTTCTCAGATACAAGGAACTAATACGTTAAGCCCTTATAAGTCAATGGGGAAATATGAAAATTGCTATTTTGGCGCCGAGAATGATCTGAAACTATCTCAAGCATATAAAATCATGATTTCATGCACTCCTTGCAAGGTTCTATGCTTCATATATGCATTGTTGCCCTTGCGTGACGTCATTATCATCCGTCATATGTGACGTCACAAGGGTCACAGTTTTTCTTCAATAACTCCCGATCAAATTGAGCTAGCGAGTCGGGAAAGCCACCAATGGACTCAGGAAGACCTGCCGAATCGAATGATATGCGACATGACCTCTTTCGACCAACTTCGTGACCTGGGGGTGCTGACCTGACCTTGACCTGAGGTTAACACCCTAAGTTGACCTGACCCGAACAAAAAGTATATCACTCGATGCGCCTGAGCTAGCTGAACACGATGATGCCAAAATCGCGGCTCTACGGCCATTTTTGGCGAAGTTATTTACCAAAAACCGAACCCGTGCCTGAGATCACTTGACCTGACCTCAGAGGTCACCGGTTGACCCGGGACCTTTTCTAGTGGGTTCCTACCAGTCACTCTGCATTATCCTTTGTCGCAAACGACATATTTACCGCTTAATTCTAGTTTAATTAGCGGCGCATTAGCGAGGTGGGTTCAATCAACCCCCTCGGCCGGGGCAAATCTAGGTCCGGCGAGTGAATTTGAGGAATTCCGAAGATACGATCGTGTTCCCCACTCAATTCTGCGTAAGATGCCGGGTTTCGTATCTACGTAACTTGAACGTAACGGATGCGGCGGCCGCAAACGTAAATCGAGGTCCCGAATTCCCTATTCCTCAACACAGGCGGCAGCTGTTTCTTGGTCTGCGCAATATGGCCGCCACCGTTAGACACTACGGCCAATAGGGTTCAAGCGGCATTGCTCCCCTGTGTACTCGCCGCTTTGGCCTTGCTTTGTGCGCTTTTTGTGCGGCAAGTGGTGCGGCACGAGTGGTTACGAAGGGGGTTTAGATTTACCCTTCTCGAAATCTATATAATTTTGTGAGGTAAGTTGTTTTTAACCTAATTAAATCAGTTCATGTTGGTAACAATTACATTCGTATTTCAGTGCAATTTTTAAATGCCAATATGAAACCATTGGGACTTGGGCTGAGTCGCCGGCTGAAATCAAAATCAAAATTGAATTAATGCCAGGCAATGGCTTTTATTGATTTTAGCTAGTTTAAACTGGCATCAATTAATAAAAGCCGGTCTCTAACCAACATTGACAGTAAATTAAAGTTACGAGCCTAGGCAATTCCTGCCAAGCATCGTGGCGTTTCTTTTCAGACCAGACTGGAAAACATCTGGGCATTATGCCGAACGCCAGTTAGACCCACTTGCTCTAGAATTCAGTACAAGCGATTTCACGCTGAAATTTCTGCATGATTTGCACCAGCTATTTTTGGAGTTTTTGCCCTCTGCAGGCTCAACCCAGTAGGCGGAACTATGGTCATGAGTACCCAAATATAGGAACGTTCCCATTTTTGGGAACGGAGTTCCCAAATATGGGAACGGGCGTTCCCATTTATGAGAACGGAAGGCAATTTTTCGGCCGTTCGCCCACTAAAACTCAAAAGTGCATCACGTCTCAAAAAAGTGCACGCTGATTTAAGTATCTACTAAATATCCATAAAGTTATCTTTAATCTGACCGTGGAGCAAGGAAATTGACCGTGGAATGATATTTTTAATGATTTTTTTAAAATGACAGAATGGTGGAAATATGGGTTATATGACATTTAACATGCAATTTTAAGGAAAATGAAGCATTTTTTACATTTTGAGGTCAAGTATAATAATTTTCGCCTGGTTATGAAGTTTCATTCTAGCGACACCAGATGCTGACATATGCAAGCGAACACGCGGACAGTCCCGAGGTAATATTGTTGACTTTTGGTGTCGGGGCGATCGACCGCGTGGAACGTCAGTGATTTTACCGAACTACTGTTGTAAACTCAGTTTCAGTGGTTTGAAATCATTCAGCTGTATTTTATCAGCCCTGAAAGACATATTTTATTTGGATGCTAGCTGTTTAGCGTTGTTTTATAAGCAGAGTCATGAGCGTGGTTTTTGTCTTCGGCGTTTCTAAGCATGATCGTTTTGGGGGAATTTCTCTGATAGGTATAGGTTGCTCTGTGTGGCTTATTTATAATTTTTATGCTGATTTCGATCATTCCTCGTGCCCATCCTACCAGGCCTTTTGCCACTTACACTCATTAAGAAAGGAAAAAACTAGATTTTCATTGGTACTAGGTGTTTTGAGGGTGTAACATATTCAGCGTTCCCATTTTTGGATACTTCTTGTGCTCGTCAACTCTCGGTGATTAGCAGACAGGTGCTTGACATGTCTCCACCCTCGGCGCGGACGGTGGATATAGGTATGGAAGACCTTGTTGAACATCGCTGAGCGTTGTGGATTACGTAATCCTGCAGAGGGGGGGCGTGCCCGCTGCGAGATCGACGGGAATAAAAGCGCAGAAGACCGGGCGAAACATGCAACGGTCTTGCCGGAAAGGTCATCTGATGATTGTTGCGTTAACAATAATTTGCGGCGTTGGACGTGATGCTTGTTAATGAAAAGAGCCCCTGAAAGGCGTCGGTGAAATCGTTCCCAATTTTGGGTACGCCGTTCCCATAATAAGGAACGCTTGCAGCGCCAGTGTACGAGAGCGTTCCCAAATTTGGGCTCGCGGCCCGGGTGATGGACTGCTTTAGAAATAGGGGAACGATTTGAAACTACGATGGGCCTTACAATATCAAACTCTTTCCCAACAATATTGAGACAACTATCAGGCGGTTCACGATCGTTTTATATTTTTTGGACGTCATTTAACGGTTCTTTTTCTTGTTTTAAATAATGCCTACATGGCGTTCCCATATTTGGGTTTATCGTTCCCAAACATGGGAACGAAAATGCGTTCCCGAAAATGGGTACGCTTGACCATAGTTCCGCCTACTGAACCATTGACCTGAGGTCAATTTTGATGATGGCCTTATCAAAAGAAGAGTTCAAAAATCAAAAGCTATCTATTGCTTTTCCATGCCTTTTTCTAGCTATCATAGTTGCTGGGATAACAGCATGTTTTCTGAAAAATTTAATGACAATTGGCAAATTTTGACCTTAGCTGAGCTCTGGTGATCCCAATATTGCTCTAAGATGAAAAATGACTGAAATACTTTCAATCATACGCATTGAGTGCTATCAACTGCTTTTTACCGCGTCTTTCTAGCCCTCTTAGTTTTTGAGTTAGAGGTGGGTGGTAATGGTGGTAACACATGCCCCCCCCCCCCCCCACAGAAGTTGGCTGAGACTGCCACTGGGGCGCGGTTTAAACCAGCAAATGACAAGCTAGCTTTTGCCAGCAAAAATGCCATTACCGGGCTGTCACATGTCTGTCTCACCCGTCACCGGGTTGCTGTCACATGTCTGTCCCTTCCCAGAATGTCGGGCGACAGCAATGATGAGGGACACGTGATCCGACTGCGCGGCCTGCCCTGGGCAGCCACTGAGGAGGACATCATCCATTTCTTCGGAGGTACGACAATGACACAGCGCGCCACAAATCGGACACACGTACTGGGGAGCCCCCCACGTCCTCCGCCCTAATTGGCAGAGCCCACACGCTGCATCCATCTGACTTTTTCAAATGAACAGAAAAAGACTGGCCCGAGCCCTGGCTGGCCGCCATTCTCCGTCCCCCTGACTGACACTGACCGCCCTTCCCCTGACTGACACCGCCGTCCCCCTGACTGACACTGAGCACCGTCCCCCTGACTGACACTGACCTCCGTCCCCCTGACTGACACTGACCGCCCTCCCCGTCCCCTGCCTGACACTGACCGCCCTCCCCCTGACTGACACTTACCGCCGTCCCTGTCCCCTGACTGACACTGACCGCTGTCCCTCTGACTGACACCGACCGCCGTCCCCCTGACTGACACCGACCGCCGTCCCCCTGACTGACACTGACCTCCGTCCCCTCTGTCTGACCGCCCTCCCCGTCCCCCTGACTGACACTGGCCGCCCTCCTCCGTCCCCTCTATCTGACACTGAGCCCCGTCTTCCGTCCCCCTGACTGACACTGAGCACCGTCCCCCTGACTGACACTGACCGCCGTCCCCCTGACTGACACTGACCGCCGTCCCCGTCCCCCTGTCTGACACTGACCGCCCTCCCCCATCCCCCTGTCTGACACTGACCGCCGTCCCCCTGACTGACACTGACCTCCGTCCCCCTGACTGACACTGACCGCCGTCCCCCTGACTGACACTGACCGCCCTCCCCGTCCCTCTGTCTGACACTGACCGCCCTCCCCCGTCCCCCTGTCTGACACTGACCGCCGTCCCCCTGACTGACACTGACCGCCGTCCCCCTGACTGACACTGACCGCCGTCCCCCTGACTGACACTGACCGCCGTCCCCCTGACTGACACTGACCGTCATCCCCCTGACTGACACTGATCGCCCTCCCCGTCCCCCTGACTGACACTGACCGCCCTCCCCGTCCCTCTGTCTGATACTGACCGACCGCTGTTCCCGGCGCGGCGCAGATGGGGTGAACGTGAAGGGCGGCAAGGCGGGTGTGTTCTTGACGCTGTCACGCGAGGGACGGCCCAGCGGCGAGGCCTACGTCGAGCTCTGCTCCGAGGCAGACTTCGAGGCGGCCAAAAAGAAACACAACTGCACCATGGGACACCGCTACGTGGAGGGTGAGCTGGCGGCGCTGAGCCTGCTGTGAGCAGTCGATAGGGTGTATACTGTGAGCTGTGGACGGGGTGTTCTGTGAACAGTCGATAGGGTGTGTTCTGTGAGCTGTGGATGGGGTGTATATTGTGAGCTGTGGATGGGGTGTATATTGTGAGCTGTGGATGGGGTGTTCTGTGAGCTGTGGATGGAGTATATTGTGAGCAGTCGATGGGGTGTATACTGTGAGCTGTGGATGGGTTGTTCTGTGAGTTATCGATGGGTGTTCTGTGAGCTGTGGATGGGGTGTTCTGTGAGTTACCGATGTGTGTTCTGTGAGCTGTGGATGGGGTGTTCTGTGAGCTGTTGATGGGTTGTTTGGTGAGCTGTGGATGGGGTGTTCTGTGAGTTATCGATGGGGTGTTCTGTGAGCTGTGGATGGGGTGTATATTGTGAGCTGTGGATGGGACGTTCTGTGAGTTATCGACAGGGTGTTCTGTGAGCTGTGGATGGGGTGTTCTGTGACTCCCTCACCCCGGCCAGCTGTGATTAGACTCCCACTCGGTCAGCTGTGATTAGACTCTCCCACCCCGGTCAGTGTGATTAGACTCTCCAACTCGTTCAGCTGTGATTAGACTCCCTCACCACGGCCAGCTGTGATTAGACTCTCTCCCCGGCCAGCTGTGATTAGACTCTCTCACCCCGGCCAGCTGTGATTAGACTCCCACTCGGCCAGCTGTGGTTAGTCTCTCCCACTCGGTCAGCTGTGATTAGACTCTCTCTCGGTCAGCTGTGATTACTCCCACTCGGCCAGCTGTGATTAGACTCTCACTCGGCCAGCTGTGATTAGACTCTCACCCCGGCCAGCTGTGATTAGACTCCCACTCGTTCAGCTGTGATTAGACTCTCTCCCCGGCCAGCTGTGATTAGACTCTCTCCCCGGCCAGCTGTGATTACTCCCACTCGGCCAGCTGTGATTAGACTCTCTCACGCCGGACCCGGTCGAGGCGCGGCGGCGGCGGCGCGCTGCGATTGTCGCCGCGCTGCGATGGTCGCCGCGCCGCCGCCGCCGCCTCTCCCGCCTGACGGACGGATAATCTTCTCTCTGAGCGGCTCGCGGCTGCCGGCGGCGCTGGGCGGTACGCGGCGGGCTCTGACACCCCTCCCCCCGGCCCGGCTCCGGCGCAGTGTTCCGCTCCAAACGGTCCGAGATGGAGTGGGTGATGAAGCGCTCCGGGGTGGCGGCCGCCGCCGGCTCGCCGCTGGACGAGGGATGCCTGCGCCTGCGCGGCCTGCCCTACAGCTGCAGCAAGGAGGAGATCGCCAACTTCTTCTCCGGTCAGTGGCCGCCGGCCGGCGGAGGGACGGGGCGGCCGGCCGGGGGACGGGCGGGAGGCGGCTCACAGGGAAACCTTGTCTGCGCTGCTTTTTTGTAACTTAAAGGAGACTAAGTTTTGCGTAGGAACTGTGTGTCATATACTATGATTATTCATTACAGTATTGTTGACGATGCTGGGGCCATAGGCCTGGCGTGCGTCGTTACCAGCGCTGTGGTTTGTGTCTTGGCGATGTGTGCGGCTGTGTGCCGAGCTGCCGTGTCTCTCTGACCTCATACCTGTGACCGTGTGTTGTCCCTCTAACGCGGCGGACCGTCCGCCCCCCCCCCCCCAGACTGCGTGGGCCCCATCCCGGTGGTCCCCTGAGACCCCGCGGTACCCCTGAGACGGCCGGTCCCCTGAGACCCCCCTGAGACCCCGTGGTACCCCTGGTGACGCGCCCGCCGGGTTCCGCAGGGCTGGAGGTGGTCCCCAATGGCATTACCATCCCCCTGGACGGTCAGGGACGCTCCTCGGGCGAGGCCTATGTCCAGTTTGTGAACAGAGAGGTCGCCGAGCGGGCCATGGCCAAAAATAAGGAGAAAATCGGCCACAGGTGGGGCGCCCTGCTGTGGGGCCGGGGCAGAGGGCGGGGTGTGCGGGCCGGAGTCGGAGGCGGGGTAGTGTTGGGGTAGTGGGAGGGGATGGGTAGTAGCGGGGTATGGCCGAGTGGTGGGTGGAGCAGGGGTGAGTCAGGGCAGTCGGTGCGGTGATGGAGGGTAGAGACGGGTATTGGCCAGGGTAGGGTCGGCACTGGACTGGTGAGGGGTGTTGGCGGAGTCAGGGAGGGCGCGGTGGCGGGGAGTCAGGGAGGGCGGGGCCGGGAGGGCGCGGTGGCGGGGCCGGGAGGGTGTCTGGACTGCTGAAGTCATCGAGGTCGCATGAGCTCTTCGGGAGGACATGGAGGACATCGGGCGGTCACCTGCGGTCAGCCCATCCTGGGAGCTCACCTCAGGTCATCATGAGGTCACCTGAGGTCAGTGGAACGGGAGGCCATCTGAGGTCATCAGGTCACCCGAGGTCAGTGTAACGGGAGGTCACCTGGAGTCATCGGGAGGTCACCTGAGGTCAGTCTACTGGGAGCTCACCTGGAGTCATCGGGAGGTCACCTGAGGTCAGTCTACTGGGAGCTCACCGAGGGTTATTGGGAGGTCACCTGAGGTCGTCGGGAGGTCACCTCAGCCCATCGGGAGGAAATTGCTGGTTCACCGAAGGTCAGTCGTGCGGGAGGAGATACGGAGGTCACTCTGTGATCGGTGTCCGGGGTACTGCACCACTGATTTAGTGAGTTCTGATGCTGATTTGTGGCGGTTTTGCGTCCTCGTCTGTGTTCTAGGTTCTATGGAACTAACATTACTGTTACCTTCTTGTGTGTTTTGGCAGTGTCAGTCTCATTGGCAGAAACGAAGCACCGAGGGCTTGTGTTAAAGGGACTATCCCACCTTTAACATGGGGTTTGAGTTGAGATAGCCAAGTTTGCGGCGAGGTTCAGAAACCACTATCTATCTAGGTTGCAACCCCCGCGGCCTCTTGGTGTTGAAGAAATTCGTTCCCTTCATTTGAAAATGGGCCTTGTACAAGGCCCTATCTTCAACATGGAGCGACCGTTAGTGTGACGTCACCTAGCTTAGTCATTCTGATTTAAATGGGTTTGTTCGTTGAAAAATCGCTTAAAACTTGGTCTGAACTTTGTTGTGGTGCCTACAGAGTAAAAAGAATCAGCTTTATGACAGTAATGTGGCCTGGGGAAGGAGGTAATTTTGGGCTGTGACCAGGGTTGGCAGGGGTGGCAAAAACTGGTTTTTGCCAGTGGTTTTAACCGGTTTAAACCGGCTGGCAGAAACCCCGGTGGCAAAAACTGGCAAAAACTGGATAAAACTCAGGTGGCCCAAACCACAACTTTTCTAGTTAGGAATGGATCTGAAATGTATGTACAAATGCATTTCTGGATGTTATAGAGATGCACCAAACATTCTGAAGTTTGCCTCATTACTTATCCCTGCTTAAAATGTCTATGCATGTCGGTAGACATCCACCACAGAATGTATTTCCATGTAGGGGAGAGTGGGGCAAAGCTGCCACGGTAGGGTGCCGTGCGCATATCAGTGGCAGATACCCCCTCGCACTTCTGATTGTGCAGGACTCACTCTTGCACTGGCTCATTTGCCAACACCAAAAGGTGTCTTACTGGTTCCTTATGGAAAGCCCATGGATTTTTTTTTTTGAGTTATAGAACACTTCAACGGTCAATGACACTTCTGCTTGAAAGCATAAAGCTTTCACCGAATTCTCCTCAAAATGTTTCATCTTTAAATCCATGTCTATGCATATCATTGTGATGGTTTTTAGTTTTTGCCAGTTTTTGCCACTTTTTGCCGGTTAAAACCGGTTTAAACCGGCAAATGGCATAAACTAGTTTTTGCCGGCAAAAATGCCAACCCTGGCTGTGACGTCACATATTTGAAAGTTTGTGTTTGGAATATGGGAAGCCTAAGATGTTTAATGAAAAATAAATGCCAGAACCGTGTTCCTGGTCATCCAATGTATAAAGTCGGGCACAATTTAACTGGTTTTAACAACATTTTAGAAGGTGGGATAGTCCCTTTAAGTGGTGTTAATTCTTGCCTTTATTGGAGGCAACACTTGCTGTGCTAATGCTCGCCTGGTGTGCCCACCGTCGTTGGACTTGCTTCCTCCGCGTCTCAGTATTCCTCAGCAGGTCGTATGGTTGTTCTGTTCTGGCTGGCGTAGTCTGATTTTAAAGTTGTATCGTTCTGGTTTCGTTTTGCCCTTCGAAACCCTAAACACCTCCTATTCCCGCGTCCTCGGTCCAGGCCTGAAGTGTCTTGGGGCTCTTGAACATTGCTGCTACCTAAATTGTTTATCGGATCCTCTTCTCCTTTACTCATTTTCTGGTCCTCTTTTCTTTTCCTCTCCAACAGCTCCCTGGTTGGCACTTTTCTTTAATCGTTGTGTTCTTCGGACTCGTCCTTCCCTTATCCTTCTCCACTCTCAGCTGTTAGCGCATAGTGGCCTATCTGTTGATGCGCCCCTGAACCCCAGCGACTGGGTCCGCCCGACACCCGCCCACTCCGCCCGCCAGGCCGCCGCTAACCGCTGACCGCCGGCCGCTCCCCCGCAGGTACATTGAGATATTCCGCAGCAGTCTGAGCGAGGTGCGCTCGGCCCAGGGCTCGGGCAAGGTGCGGCCGCTGATGCTGGCGCGGCCCACGCCCTACGACCGCGGCGACCGCGGCGGCGCCGGTCTGGGCCCCGCGGGCGCCGGCTGGGGCGCCGCCGGGGGCGCCGGACTGGCCGGCGGCCCGGGCGCGCGCTTCGGCGGCCCGCCGGCCGGCCGCGGCGGACGCAGGGGTGAGTGGCCGGGACTGTCCGCCAGTGACTGCTAACCGGGACAGGGGACGGGGAGGTGGGCACTGGACTGTCCGCCACTGCTAACCGGGACAGGGAGGTGGGCACTGGACTGTCCGCCAGTGACTGCTAACCGGGACAGGGGACGGGGAGGTGGGCACTGGACTGTCCGCCACTGCTAACCGGGACAGGGGACAGGGAGGTGGGCACTGGACTGTCCGCCAGTGACTGCTAACCGGGACAGGGGACAGGGAGGTGGGCACTGGACTGTCTCCAGTGACTGCTAACCGGGACAGGGGACAGGGAGGTGGGCACTGGACTGTCCGCCACTGCTAACCGGGACAGGGGACGGGGAGGTGGGCACTGGACTGTCCGCCAGTGACTGCTAACCGGGACAGGGGACGGGGAGGTGGGCACTGGACTGTCCGCCACTGCTAACCGGGACAGGGAGGTGGGCACTGGACTGTCCGCCAGTGACTGCTAACCGGGACAGGGGACAGGGAGGTGGGCACTGGACTGTCCGCCAGTGACTGCTAACCGGGACAGGGGACGGGGAGGTGGGCACTAGACAGGGGTGGGCACTAGACAGGGGTGATCACTGGACTGTTCGGCACTGACAGCCCGGGTCTGGGGTTAGCGACTGGCTGACAGCAGCGCCGACGGGATCACGGGTGGGATGGCTCACGCCGCAGGGACATGTGTCTGGTACGAGCCGGCTAGTAACTGAAATGGCCGTTCCGCGCAGTGGCTGTTTCGGTCCGGATACTGCCGCGGCTCTGCGCTACTGACCGATCCCTGTTCGGCAGGCTTCCAGTCGGAGTACGACGACTTCTACGACGGAGGAGGCGGCGGCGGCGGCTGGGGCGGCAACGGAATGGGCGGCGGAATGAACAGCGGAATGGGCGGCGGAATGGGAGGCGGAATGGGTGGAGGAATGAATAGCGGGATGGGAGGTGGAATGGGCGGTGGAATGGGAGGAGGAATGGGAGGAGGAATGAACAGCGGAATGGGCGGCGGAATGAACAGCGGAATGGGCGGCGGAATGAACAGCGGAATGGGTGGTGGCGGCGGCGGAATGAAGGGAATGGGCGGCGGCGGCGGCGGCGGTGGCTGGAAATCTCTCTCCGGACACACGGTCCACATGCGAGGCCTGCCCTACAGAAGCACAGAGTCCGACATTATCGAGGTGAGCGAGCGTTAGGAAGGGGGAGGGGAGACCATCGCTCAGGAGCGAGCGGCTCCAAGTCGGAGGACTTGGAGCCGTGGAATGCGCTCGTTTTATGGTACTGATTTTTCCACTTAAAGCGTTTCTGCTATCTGGTCAGTGCTACTTATTGTGATATTCATAGATAATGTAGAAATTTATCGGGTTTTAGTTGGAAATTGGTCGGTATCGGTCGCAGTTTTAACGACGTCCGTGTTGCCGGTTCACTGTCGGTACGTTGGTACTGCAGCGCTGTAAGGTGTCGTATATCCGCTCTTTTACTCTCCACTGGTGCAGCTGTTCAGTCTTGAACCGCCTCTCTGGCCGCCCCGTTCAGCGGTCCGCGCTGGGTATTGTATTGCATTGTCGCACGAGTGTCCGTCTGACGCTGTGTGTCTGTGTTCTCCGCCCAGTTTTTCCGCCCGCTGGTGCCGCTCCCCGTTATCTGACGATGTGTGTCTGTGTTTTCCGCCCAGTTTTTCCGCCCGCTGGTGCCGCTCCCCGTTATCTGACGCTGTGTGTCTGTGTTCTCCGCTCAGTTTTTCCGCCCGCCGGTGCCGTTCCCCGTTATCTGACGCTGTGTGTCTGTATTTTCCCGCTGTTTTTCCGCCCGCTGGTGCCGCTCCCGCCTCCCCGTTATCTGACGCTGTGTGTCTGTGTTCTCCGCCCAGTTTTTCCGCCCGCTGGTGCCGCTCCCCGTTATCTGACGATGTGTGTCTGTGTTTTCCGCCCAGTTTTTCCGCCCGCTGGTGCCGCTCCCCGTTATCTGACGCTGTGTGTCTGTGTTCTCCGCTCAGTTTTTCCGCCCGCCGGTGCCGTTCCCCGTTATCTGACGCTGTGTGTCTGTGTTCTCCGCCCAGTTTTTCCGTCCGCTGGTGCCGTTCCACGTCCACATGTTGTTCGACGACCTGGGCCGTCCTTCGGGACAGGCCAACGTGGACTTCTCCAGCCACGAGGAGGCCGTCAAGGCCATGGCCAAGGTACCGTACACTGCAGCCGGCCAAGGTACCGTACACTGCCGGCCGGCCAAGGTACCGTCTGCTGTCGGCCGGCTGAGCGGCGCTGGGCAGCTGGCGCTTCTTAAATATTGTGAATATGTTAGTCTTAGTGCCTAGTGGAGCCAATTGCACCATCGCCTTGTTTTAATGAAATCTTGCAAAATGCATTATGTAGTTATACTGTTGACATATCCTGTCATCGCTATGCCCTTCTCCCTTCTGTCCCTTCTATTTCTTTCGCGCTCCCCCCCCCCCCGAACTGAAACAAGGCGATGTCAACCTTCTGCTGTCATTCGTCTTCTCCTTCCCGGCCGCGTCTCCCTCTTGCCCTGAGCACCCCTTCCCCTCCGGGGCCCCTCCCTCGCGCTCTGAGACCCCCCACCTCCGGTCCCTCCCTGTCACAGGACAAGTCTCACATGGCGCACCGCTACATCGAGCTGTTCCTGAACAGCACGCCGGCCGGCAACTACGGCAACATGGCCGGCTACGGCGGCGGCTTCGGCGGGCACGGCATGGGAGGCGGCGGACCCGGCATGGGAGGCGGCGGGCCCGGCATGGGCGGCGGCGGGCCCGGCATGGGCGGCGGCGGGCCCGGCATGGGCGGAGGCGGCCCAGGGATGGGCGGCGGCGGCGGCGGCGGCCCCGGCCCGGGCCGCGGCGGATTTGGAGGTGAGCACTCCGCGGGGGGGGGGGGGGTCCTGCGTGTGATCCGTGGTCAGTGTATTGGCAGTCCGGAGAACTTGGGAGCAGGATGATGGGCCGATTGAGTTATCGCCGGTGTTCACCCACAAACTGCCCGACGTAGCGTCCCGGGACACAGTGGCCACCTGTGGGCTGCGGCAGCGTCTGGTTTGTTTTCGTGATTCAGTACGTGGTCGCGTCAGTGCTAATGTGTATTCACGATTCGCGTGGCTGCAAAGCAAGTTGAGGATGGATAATGTTTTATAGGATGGACTCTCCAATGGAATAAAGTCGCCTTTTATGACACCTCCCGCTGCCCTCTTACCCTGAGATCTGAACGCTTCCTCCCCCCCTCTGACAGGCTTTGGCGGCGGCGGCGGGGGCGGCGGCATGGGCGGCTTCAACGGCAACAGCTCGCAGATGGGCGGCAACAGCTACAACAGCTTCATGTAGAGGGGGATTCAGCAGCTTCATATAGTCCCCGGAGCCGGGGCCGGTGACCTGACCTGACTGGTGACGTCAGGCAGTGCTGTGGCGCCGCCCTGTTCTGGGGCGTGACCGGAGTTTAAATGTGGCCGACTGGGCGGTGAGGTGCTTTGGCCACCAGGCCTGTTTCACTGCACGCAGTACGATGTAGCCCATTACGTCAGCAGCCCGGGCGGTCCCATGGTCCCATTGGCCGCCCAGCACTGGCCAGTCGGTAGCTGGGACGCGGCTGGGGCCAGTTGGTTGCCAGTGAGTTATCCGGCTCGCCGGACCCCGTGTGTCAGCGCGCCGCCGGCCGGACGGGACAGGACGGGACAGCGGATTGGGGACGGAGCTGACAATACTGTAGCGGCCGGTTTGACAGGAGTGTACGGAACGGCGGACCGGGCACGGGGATATTACAATAGTGTAGCGGCCGGCTGGAGGCTCGAAATCATGGCGCTGTGTGTCATTGACACGTGCTGAACCCAATGTTCAGGCTCTGATTTGGAGTAGGACGCATACGACGCATCATCCGTGTGATTTAGAGATCAACAAAGTAGGGTGTGGAGGGTATGTCGGTTTCGGGATCATTGGAGAGTATATACTCAGTGACGGGAACTGGGCCCTTCCCACGGAGAGCCGCGCCGCGCGCCTGTGCCCCGCAGCGTCCATTGCCGCGGTCCGGGCGGCCCGCTGCCGATTCCCGCTGTCTCACGGCCGGCGTAGTCACACGGTCTCTCAGACTGTGCAAGTGTGTGTGTGAGTGCGTGTGCTAGTTCGGTTTAGTGTGCTAGCGTCACTTTCATTGGTTTCGTTCATAATTCGCTGTGTGTGCTGGGTGGACCGTCTTCGTGGAGCTTGGAATACAGTACTGGAGACGTTTCCGCCCGCATTGTGCGATTGTGGGAAACTGAAGTCGGGGACGCGGTCAGTTCCCTAGAGACTGGAGGTGTAAACCGGCCATGAATGAAATTAGACCGCATCTCTGATAGACCATGTTCACTGCCTACGTTCAGAATTGACGTGCGTTTATTGGTGGTCTCTGGTCAAACGGCAGCTCGTATATCGATATAATTTATTGAGAAATGACAAACACGTGCTGTGGGCCCGTCTGGCGGGGCCCGTCGATCCCAGTCTGGCGGGCGGTGAGCCGGCGGCACTGGCACGGGGCGCTCAGAGACCTGGCGCGGCGCGCTGACCCGCGACCCGGTCCGGACAGCTGACCTGAGACCCGGCGCGGCGCGCTGACCCGCAGCCCGGCGCGGCGCGCTGACCCGGCTGACCCGCAGCCCGGCGCGGCGCGCTGACCCGCTGACCCGCGGCCCGGCGCGGCGCGCTGACCCGCTGACCCGCGACCCGGTCCGGACCGCTGACCCGCTGACCCGGCGCGGCGCGCTGACCCGCTGACCTGAGACCCGGCGCGGCGCGCTGACCCGCGGCCCGGCGCGGCGCGCTGACCCGCTGACCTGAGACCCGGCGCGGCGCGCTGACCCGCGGCCCGGCGCGGCGCGCTGACCCGCGACCCGGCCCGGTCCGGTACCGGTACCGCCCGGCGCCGAGTCGTACCGCCGTCCGGCCGCTGTGCGCCTGTGGCCGGTCCTCCAAACTCGGGTCTCTAGTCGGCCGGCGTGACCCGCTGGCTCGCCCCACTGTGGTTCAATCACAAATTCGATCTATCTCGGGTTATCACCGAGCAGCGGCCTTCCTGCATATACCGTGTACTATGCACGCGCGTATGTTGGTATTGTGTACGCACGGGGTACACAGACTCCAGTGACTGTGTGGCCTATCTTATCCCTGCCGGCCGCGGGTGTGTCTCCGTCCGCCCTGTACACGCAGTGCGGACGGCGCGGTCTTTGGACACGGTCCGCCGTCCCTGGCAGCCCTCCCTCACTCCTCCACAGCCTGGCCTACTGACTGTAGGTGAAGCGCCGCCGGCCGGCCGGCTACATTTTGGGCAGCTGGCAGATCTCGCAGGTGCCGTTCTCGGCCCGGTTCAGGAACGTACAATGCTGGCACGCCCAGGCGTCGGCCGCCGCCACCGGCGACATCTGCAGGCACACCCGCGCAAACACTGGTCAGGGGCGGGCGGGCGGAGGGTAGCGGGGGACACTGACACTGAGGATTGGTCTGGCCAGGGACGGGCGGGCGGCGGGTAGCGGGGGACACTGACACTGAGGATTGGGCTGGCCAGGGGCGGGCGGGCGGCGGGTAGCGGGGGACACTGACACTGAGGATTGGGCTGGCCAGGGGCGGGCGGGCGGCGGGTAGCGGGGGACACTGACACTGAGGATTGGGCTGGCCAGGGACGGCACATAGAGTTGTGACGACACTGACGAGTTGTTGTGGATGCACAACCAGGCAATTGTTTCCAAGCATCAGATAACACACAAACAACCCGTGCACCGTCTCCGGTCCCTATTCTGCCGTGCGCAAAAACTTCCATGTTGGGTCAGGTCATGTTGGGTCAAAGGCTGGGTCTTTGCCTTTGTGTGGCCATGTTGACCCCTGTGTTTGACCTGTACCCCTGTATGACTGACCTGCGCCGTGGTCCCTGTACCCGGCTCTGTAACTGACCTGGGCGCCCGGTCCGCCGGCGCCGGCCGCGCCGGCCGCGTCCATAAGCTGCAGCACCGTCTGCCACTCGGTGCTGTGGTAGAACTCGTGCGCCAGCAGCTGGTCCTGCTGCCGCACCGCCGACAGCAGCGGCGGCAGCACGTCCTACGGCAGGGCAGGGCGGGGGGGGGGGGGCAGCAGGTCAGGTCAGCAGTGGCGGTAGCACGTCCTACGGCAGGGCGTGGGGGGGAGGGGGGAGCAGGTCAGGTTAGGTCAGCACCTCCTATCGCAGATCGGGGCGAAGCAGATTAGCATTGCCTACGGCCAGACCCCGGTCGGTCCGGGACCGGTCACTGGAGCCGGACATGGGGACTTCACTCAGATACTGAACACGACCGTCCAGGACTGGTCACAGGGCCTGAACAGCGCCGTCCGGGGCCGCCGACTGGGGCGTGTGGCGGCAGCGGTACCTGACCACCCCCCATCTCCACCCGCCACCCGCCACGGACCGTTCGACGTACCTTGATGTGCACGGTATCCATGGTGGCCAGGTAGTAGAGCACGTGGAAGTCGCTGACGGCCGCCAGAAACTCGTCCTCGGTCACCCGGTGCAGGTAGGCAGACAGCGCCGAAAAGTCCTGCACCTGACCGTCCAGCAGCCTGCGGGGGGATGGGCAGGGGGTCAGAGGGAGGAAACGCCGAAAAGTCCTGCACGTGGCCGTCCAGCAGCCTGCCGGAGGGGAGGGGCAGGGGGTCAGAGGGAGGAAACGCCGAAAAGTCCTGCACGTGGCCGTCCAGTAGCCTGCGGGGGGAAATGGGCAGGGAGTTGTAATAGGTGACTAAGTGATATCGATATGCTTAAGTACAAATGTAACAACTTTGAACTCGCAACAAGGCCACACATGAAATTGAATCGCAAATGGAAAGGCAGCCATGCAAAGACAATATGATGTATCCAGTAGGGACGCTGAGTACGATTCCTCAAAAGGTACAGCCCTCTGCAAACTGCGTGGTAGGTATTCTTTTTCCGACAAAACCGAGAATAACGCGAATACTATGCTATCGGTCACCCGAAAATCGTAACAGCAAGACGCGCGAGATACCGCACCTTAGATTGGCATTATCATCTTATTCATTTTCCATCCAGTTTGGCAACAAAACTCAAAAGTTTATAGGTATTTGCCCCCAAAACAAACTTATGCATTTTGTTGCCACACAAGCCGTATACTTTGTTTAGTGATAGACCCAATCGAAGGAGCGGAGCATGGCGCATCAATTTGAAGTGAGTTCCGACCTACTGTTGACATAGCCTTTGAGTAATTATCGGTTTTGTCGAAAAAAGAATACCTACCACGCAGTCTGCTGAGGGCAGTACACAAATCGCCCATTCCGAATCGCACAAACATATTACAGCTGCACAAAGCGCATTCCAACAGCCCCGTCGCTCTCCAGCCTCACTATCCCCAACATTTCACTGTCAAGCCCTCTTGGTTCGAGGGCTGCCGAACACGGAGCGGCCAGCTGCTGCGGGGAGCCGGGGAGACGCCTCCCCTCCCCGCGGCGTGCGGGGAGCCGGGGAGACGCCTCCCGGCCTCCCGCGGCGCGGTCGCCGCTCACCTGTTCTCCACGGGAAATGGTGCGCGCGGCGGCGCCGGCACCGGGAACGTGTAGAGCGGCTCGCGCGGAGTGGAGGCCGGCACGTCTACCAGAAGGTAGGCGATGGGCAGCGGCCGCGCCAGTTTCGTCACCTCGTTACCGTACTTGTCCTTCTCCTGCGCGGGGGGGGGGGGGCAGGGGGTGAGAGCAGATCACCTACTGAGCAGTGAGACCCCGACCAGCTGGATCTGGCCAGGTAAACCGAGCAACATCCACATAGTCTGGTAATGAATCAACAACATTCGTCACAAAACTATACACGCCAATCAGCGATAGACGCCACATACCCTTACCACTCTCACACCCCTGTTCGTTGATGTTATCTGCAGCCTCGTCTATGTCCTCCCCTCCCTCCATCTCCCCTCCCTCCCTCCCTCCCTCCGGCCTCTCTCCCTCCCTTCACCTTATCCTCCCTCTCTCCCTCCATTCGTGCTGTCCACGCACCTTGTAGAAGACGTCCGGCACATACTGTTTGTTGCTCGACTCGCGGATCCAGGCCAGCTCGGGCGCGTCCTTGGTGGGTACGTAGCAGCCGTCTCTGACCAGCGCCACCGCCTGGTCGCTCACCTGGTACCCCTCCATGTGCACCTGGTTCTCCCGGTCCCCTGTACAGACAGACAGACGGTTCGTCACCCCTCCATGTGCACCTGGTTCTCCCGGTCCCCTGTACACACAGACAGACAGACAGACGGTTCGTCACCCCTCCATGTGCACCTGGTTCTCCCGGTCCCCTGTACACACAGACAGACAGACGGTTCGTCACCCCTCCATGTGCACCTGGTTCTCCCGGTCCCCTGTACACACAGACAGACGGTTCGTCACCCCTCCATGTGCACCTGGTTCTCCCGGTCCCCTGTACACACACAGACACACAGACGGTTCGTCACCCCTCCATGTGCACCTGGTTCTCCCGGTCCCCTGTACACACAGACAGACGGTCCGTCACCCCTCCATGTGCACCTGGTTCTCCCGGTTCCCTGTACACACAGACAGACAGACAGACGGCTCGTCACCCCTCCATGTGCACCTGGTTCTCCCGGTCCCCTGTACACACAGACAGACAGACGGTCCGTCACCCCTGCATGTGCACCTGGTTCTCCCGGTCCCCTGTACACACAGACACACAGACGGTTCGTCACCCCTCCATGTGCACCTGGTTCTCCCGGTCCCCTGTACAGAGACAGACAGACGGTCCGTCACCCCTCCATGTGCACCTGGTTCTCCCGGTCCCCTGTACACACACACAGACGGTTCGTCACCCCTCCATGTGCACCTGGTTCTCCCGGTCCCCTGTACACACGGACAGACAGACGGACGGTTCGTCACCCCTCCATGTGCACCTGGTTCTCCCGGTCCCCTGTACACACACACAGACGGTTCGTCACCCCTCCATGTGCACCTGGTTCTCCCGGTCCCCTGTACACACAGACAGACAGACGGACGGTTCGTCACCCCTCCATGTGCACCTGGTTCTCCCGGTCTCCTGTACACACAGACAGACAGACAGACAGACGGTTCGTCACCCCTCCATGTGCACCTGGTTCTCCCGGTCCCCTGTACACACAGACAGACGGTTCGTCACCCCTCCATGTGCACCTGGTTCTCCCGGTCCCTTCGAATATACGCGGACCGCGTTACACATATCGAAACAGACGCTGCGGCGTCCCGGACTGAACTGTGTATTCTAGGCGTGCACACCCCAGCCTGGGCTCCACCGCCCGAGCTGGCGAGGTCAGGCCACGCTGGCCCACAGTGGCGGGCGCAGGCCCACAGTGGCCGGCGCAGCGCACGGGGGCGGGGCCAGGGTCCAGTCTAACTATACAGAGCTCGGTCTGCCCCCCCCCCCCTGAGGCAGATCTGCAGCCAAGTCAGCTACAGCCCGGTCAGAGCTTGAGCAAAGGCAAAGGTTTGGCTACTTAAACATTAAGAAATTGGCGGCCGGATAATTATTTGTAGCTGAAATCAGACATCGACATTTTCAGCATACTAGTCTAACTATTAATTCGTTCTTATTGGACCGAGAGGCAAAGCCATTTTGCTTCAAATACTACTACCAGGTTCTCATACAGAGAAATTCGCGAGAGAGCATACATTACAGTTACACAGAGAATAAGGAAGTCCCAAACAGGGCGTATCGTCGGTGGCCCAGGGAGTCCGCGGCGCTCCGACTGACCGGATACCACGACGGTGGCGAACTTGGATCCGTAGTATCCGGAGGGCGCCAGCCGGCAGGGGTTGGGGTGTCGCGCCTGCAGCTGACCCGCCAGCATACACTCCTGCGCCGACAGGAACCACGTCTCCATGCCACGCAGGTGCTTCACCTGACGGAGGACCGGGCGGGCCGGGGCGCGTTAGCGCGGCGCGGGGGAGACGTACGCTGGAGCGGGGTAATGTTTACTCTTGTTGGGTTACACGGTCTCGGACCCAGCGGGACAATATCAGGGCCGCCGAATATGAGGAATTAGAGGGGGGGGGGGGAGACATTGGTCTATGCGGCCACCCTGGTGACTCGTCGCAGCAGCTGAGCCCGTCTCGATGGACAGGCCACCCAGCCCGCTGACCGTCAACCGTCACCGCACCACGGCGCAGGAGCCTGCCTCTGAGAAGCTACTCACGTCGGATGAAGGTGACCAGCCCGGATCACGGCTTTGGGTGCTGAGGGGAAGGATATGTGCACATTGAGGATTGAGGATAGGTCAGAGGAATCGGAGGGAGGAAGATGGGCTTTGGTTGTGAGCGATACAACCGGTGTGCTAAGTGATATTTTTCTTCTTTTACGCACTAATTCTGCGCTTGATAGAAAAAGCAAGAGTCATTGCATGACAGCCAAAATGACAAGTCATGACAAGTGTATTTGAGCAGTGCAGTACAAACGCTTCTTAAACTTTAACGAAGTGACTGTAAAGTGATGGCGATAGTCAGTAAACCAGTGACCAGTGATTTATGTCGTTGCCTCCTAGCCATCCCCGTCCCCACCGACTGTCCTATGTTCCCCCTGTCCCACTGACCGTCCAGCTGTCCCACTGACCGTCCCCGGCCTAACTGAGTCCCCCATCCGTCTCCACTGACCGTCCGTGACCGTCCGGCTGTCCCCACCGACTGTCCTCCGTTCCCCCTGTCCCCACTGACCGTTCCCCAGCTGTCCCCTATCTATCCCCCAGCTGTCCCCTATCTGTCCCCACTGACCGTGCCCCTGGCCACGTCGTCTGCGATCAGGTCGGTGAAGATCCAGCCGACGCGGCTGAGCCCGAGCGCGGCGGCCAGCTCGTCGACCAGTGCCGAGCGCGGGTCGTCCAGCAGCCGGATGTGGTCCTTGGAGCTCTCCTGGCAGGGGGCGGGGCGGGTCACAGGTCAGAGGTCACAGCCGGACAGACCCCGGTACTGACAGGGCAGGGCGGGTCACAGGTCAGGGAGGTCACAGCCGGACAGACCCCGGTGCTGACAGGGGCCAGGGCAGGTCACAGGTCAGGGAGGTCACAGCCGGACAGACCCCGGTGCTGACAGGGGCCAGGGCAGGTCACAGGTCAGAGAGGTCACACCCGGACAGACCCCGGTACTGACAGGGCCAGGGCAGGTCACAGGTCAGGGGTCACCGCCGGGCACACTCCGATAGTGGCAGAGGGCCAGGACGGGTCACAGGTCAGAGAGGTCACACCCGGACAGACCCCGGTACTGACAGGGCAGGGCAGGTCACAGGTCAGAGAGGTCACACCCGGACAGACCCAGATACTGGCAGGAGACAGGCCTGTCACAGGTCAGAGAGGTCACAGACTGACAGACCCCCGGTGCTGACAGGGGCCAGGACCGGTCACAGGTCAGAGAGGTCACAGCCGAACGGACTCCGATAGTGGAGCTATATGGGACCCGGGCGGGTCACAGCGGTCAGCAGCAGCGGGACAGACTCGTGCAGTGGCGCTAAACAGGACCCGGGTAGGCCACAGAGGTCAGACGCACCAAGGACTCCGATAGTGGAGTTAAATTTGGATCATGGGCAAGTCAGGTGTTTGAAATATTGCTGTTATGCATAGTGAGTGTGCCTAAATAGTCGTCTTGAAACACGTTACATCAGAGTTGTAAAGAGAAACAGACATGTAACAACATAATCGTCGCCATGTGAATTGATTTAAGAAGCGGTTTTTCAAGTTCAGATACAGATTGACCCTGGCTCCGACCAGATCGCCATGAGGCTAGGTAACCGTCCCTGTCAGCAGCTTTTGTTTGCAGCACGCTGACATTTTGGAGCTGTATAACTGTTAGCGCGTTCTTGGGATATGAATACAGTGTACCTGTACCGGCTCAGGGCGTGCCGCTGTACTGGCTCGCCCCCCCCCCCGTTCCGTACCTGCGGCGGCTCGTAGATGGCGCCCCCTCTGTACCGGTACCAGCTGCTCGCCCCCCGTTCCGTACCTGCGGCGGCTCATAGATGGCGGCCACGGTGGCCTTGACGCCCAGCGGTACGTCCTTGTGTACCTCGTGCCGGCCCAGCAGGAGGCCCAGCCGCTGGTGGCCCGTGCCGCGCCAGTAGTTCAGGAACCGCTCCACCAGCGCTGGGTTCTCAAACATCACGTTATCCACGTGACGGTACGGCTGCCAATGGGGGGGGGGGATGTACACCGTGACGGTACGGCTAGTGTAATGGGAGATTACATATTCACATAACAGACACATTACACCAGACAAGTATCAGTAACAGTATACATTTAATTCAATGTCTGATAAAAGTTTCAAGGCATGCATATTGTCAGGCGTCCCACAGTAAGCCCCATTCCCATCCATTTCCCTTGCAGCTCCCGTTCCCCTTTTTATGCCCCGCCCCACCCCTCTGTAAGCCCCGCCCCACCCCTCTGTAAGCCCCGCCCACCCCTGTGTAAGCCCCCTCTGTAAGCCCCGCCGGCGCCCACCTGTCGGTTGAGTGTGACGGCGCTGGGCTGGCACTTGGAGCAGATGCCCTTCGGCCACGGCGGGTGGTCCGTGCAGCCGGGCTTTATCTTACAGCTGAGGTCCTCCAGCGCGGCGAACTTGCCCCTGCAGGCGGGCACAGGTCACGGGTCAGAAGTCAGAGGTCACGGGTCACCAGTCAGGTGTCACAGGTCGTCATGGGTCGGAGGTCCCAGCTCACCAGTCAACAGTCAGGTGACACAGGTCATGGGTCGGAGGTCAGACAGTACAGTACACGGGATCACATACTGTCTGGGGCGACCGTTCCGCATCAATCAGTACAACACTGCAGCTGTACGAGCGCCACGCGCCCTAGGACATTCAGCGAACCGGCCTCAGCGGGGAGCGGGCGGCACTGGCTGCCACGGCCAGTGTCCGTCTGGCGAGGCTCAGACTGACACTGGACATCAGCCATTAGTTTGCACCCTGGCTTTAAGTTTTGTAATCTTACAGTGAAAACGTAGGCCAGCTAACAAACAAGCAGGCATTCCGCCCTGTATTAGGAAGAGTGTGAGCTAGACCTCAGCAAAAGACCCGACCGTCCTGTTTTTGTTTCTAACGAGGTAGCAAAGTTCGGGATCCCCCCGTCCAGTCACCGCGCTCTGCCGGCGCCGCTCTCTCCGCTCTCTCCGCTCTCCCTCTCTGCGCTCTCTCTGCTCTGTCCTCACTTGTCGACGCCGTGCGTGAGTTTGCGCAGGTAGCTCTGGAAGCTCATGTGTTTGATGTTGTTCTCCTTGAGGTAGGTGGGGTCGTACGGCTCCAGCGGGCTGCAGTGGATGCACCGGCCGTTGGCGCCGTGGCGACACCTGGCGGACGGAGAGGGTCACGTCAGCGCACCGTCCCAGACGGGCCGGCGGGGAACCTCCCCGGACGGAGCGGGGCACGTCAGCGCACCGTCCCAGACGGGCCAGCGCCGGAGCGGGGGGCACGTCAGCGCACCGTCCCAGACGGGCCGGCGCCGGACGGAGAGGGACACGTCAGCGCCGTCCGAGACGGGCCAGCGCCGGGCGGAGCGGGACACGTCAGCGCACTCTCCGATACAGGCCGGCGGGGAATATCGCTGGACGGAGCGGGAAACAGCGCTGTCACTTCCGAGACATGACGGCGCGGAGTGCAGCCACACGTAAATACAAATACAAGTAGTCAATGACACTGCTTTTTATGGGTAGAATGAGCTATCAGAGCGAGCCCCAGACATTCATATTCAAAGCAGATTCTCGTACATTAATGACACAATAGTGCTACATTTGATATTCCAAACTGATCCCTCTTATTGTGTGGCATCTGACATGTAACAGTACTATATGACCGCCGACATTACAGCGATGGGCCGGTGCCGCGGCCGGCCGCCCGGACTCACAGTCGTTCGTCTCGTTTCCGGGGTATTTTGCCGTCCTCCTTCCAGAGCAGCTGGTCGACCAGGTCCTCCTCGACCCCGCTCCTGGAGACCAGCGCCGTCTGCGAGCGGCTCTCGCGCACCGACGCTGGAACGCCGCGGAGCGAGCGTCAGCAGACGGACCGGGGCCGGTGGCGGCAGCCCGAGGACCCACAGCCGCCGAGCGGTGGAGACACGGGTCCACAGCCGACAAAAGGTGGAGACACGGGTCCACAGCCGCCGAGCGGTGGAGACACGGGTCCACAGCCGCCGAGCGGTGGAGACACGGGTCCACAGCCGCCGAGCGGTGGAGACACGGGTCCACAGCCGCCGAGCGGTGGAGACACGGGTCCACAGCCGACAAAAGGTGGAGACACGGGTCCACAGCCGCCGAGCGGTGGAGACACGGGTCCACAGCCGACGAGCGGTGGAGACACGGGCCCACAGCCGCCGAGCGGTGGAGACACGGGTCCACAGCCGCCGAGCGGTGGAAACACGGGTCCACAGCCGCCGAGCGGTGGAGACACGGGTACACAGCCGCCGAACGGTGGAGACACGGGTCCACAGCCGCCGAGCGGTGGAGACACGGGTACACAGCCGCCGAGCGGTGGAGACACGGGTCCACAGCCGCCGAGCGGTGGAGACACGGGTACACAGCCGCCGAACGGTGGAGACACGGGTCCACAGCCGCCGAGCGGTGGAGACACGGGTCCACAGCCGCCGCGAGCCCCTCAGACTCAACGCCAAACACAATGAACAATAACACGGCCGAAAATCAAAACACCTACACAACAGCTTCACACGACCTGCAATTATGACACTCGCACTTCATGCGGCTAAAGAACACGCATTTTGTGTATCGCAGAGCCTTGCGGAAGGACCACCCGCAGAGTATCGCGAAGGCTCGCAGTCTCTGTGAGTCTCTGCATCTGCGAGTTTTTGTATCTGCGAGGCTCGCAATCTTTCTGCGAGTCTCTGCGGGGTTCTGCAAGTCGCACGGAGTCTCTGCAAGTCTCTCTGAGTGTGCCGTACCTGGCCCGGCCGCGGAGGACGCCCTGCTCTCAGTGTCTCTGGGTGTCTCTCAGTGTCTCAGTGTCTCTCAGTATCTCTCAGTATCTCTGAGTGTCTCTCCCAGTGTCTGAGTGTCTCTCAGTGTCTCTCCCAGTCTCCGAGAGTGCCGTACCTGTCCCGGCCGCGGAGGATGCCCGGCTCTCTGGCTCGCTCTGTGTCTCCATGGCCTCGGCGCCAGCGGCGGCCGGCGCCGCGGACGTCGAGGGGAACAGGTCGCCGGAGAGCGGCACCATGTACAGCATGTCGCCGTGCTGCAGCCTGAGCGACTCCACCTGGCGGCGGCGGACCGCGGTTCGAATCCCAGCCGGGACAGCCACTATCGCGGTACAACATAACATGGAACGGTACGCATGTAGATATACGGCTGTTAACCACTACTTCTACAAAGGCTTCGAAGATACATAGAAGTATGCAAAAATTCATTTAAACAAAGATAGAACATCAAGAAGGGCAGTATTACTACTGTTGAATGGATAAAACAAATAGAATAGTTATATAAGCGAAAGCAATGTCACCAATGCAGAACGCACACAGTTTGTAGTCTAATGAATGGGTGAATATGTCGACCGATCATACCTTTTTCGACTTGCTGGAGAGGATCTCATCCTTCTGACCGCGGGACCTGTAGATGGCGAATGCGTAGCTGTCCAGCTCGAACGCCTCCTTCACCTGTCACGCGGGGGTTCAGTAGCCGTCAGTACCCGCGCAGTGGCGGCGGGCAGGCGGCGGGAGGCCACTCCCCTCAAACACAGCACCTATCCAGTATCCAGCCAGGGCTATATGAGACAGGCGCCTGGTTTTGGGTCACACAACAGGAGGTTACCGGCTACATGCCGCCCGGCACAGACAGGGTTGGCAGGGGGTGGCAAAAACTGGTTTTTGCCAGTGGGTTTAACCGGTTTAAACCGGCTGGCAGAAACCCCGGTGGCAAAAACTGGCAAAAACTGGATAAAACTCAGGTGGGCCAAACAACAACTTTTCTAGTTAGGAATGGATCTGAAATGTACAAATGCATTTCTTGATGTTATAGAGATGCACCAAACATTCTGAAGTTTGCCTCATCCCTGCTTAAAATGTCTATGCATGTCAGTAGGCATCCACCACAGAATGTATTTCCATGTAGGGGAGTGGGGCAAGGCTGCCACGGTAGGGTGCAGTGCGCATATCAGTGGCAGATACCCCTTCGCACTTCTGATTGTGCAGGACTCACTCTTGCACTGGCTCATTTGTCACCCCCAAAAGGCGCCTTATGGAAAGTAGCACATAGGTACTAACATAGGTACCGCACATCCTGAAAGTGCGGCAGATGTAACGCACAAAACAGTATATACTAGGTACCTATACGAGTATACCTACCCGTTTTATCGATGGTTTTAGCAAAAGCTGTAAGTCGACAGTCGTCGGCAAGTCAATAGACTAAGGTTTTTTCTATTGGGACTCTCGAAGGGTTCGGACGTGCGCGCAGATGCCCCGCTTTCTAGTTTGCCGTAACGTAATTACTTATTTTCTACGCCGTGTGATGTATATAAAAATGTTCCTATTCTAACGTAGAATATTTTGGTCACATTTTCATAGTTTTTTAGTCATCGTTTTACACAGTATAAACGCCTAAATATTGTCAATTTTTGACCTAATTTCTAAAAAAAACCCATCGGGTCTGGAAAGGTTTTGCCCTTTGATTTTTCCATTTGTGTCTCGTGTCAACTATCAAAAGAAGATCCCGCTTTGGGAAAAGATAAGATGCATAAATGGATACTGATGATTCTGATTCACCAATCGAGGGCTTTGACCCCAGAGACGGAAATTGGGTCACCGCGTCGAGAAAGAAAAAGCCCAAGAGAAGAAAGGATCAAGCAACTAACGAAAATGCTCATCAACGACAAACAGCAATCGGACGCAGCCGCCCACCGGCCACCACCCAGCTAACTGCCTCGCTCAGCTGCCAGGCATGCAGAAGCCGGAGTTCAAGGAAGGCCGCAATCACCTGCAGCCTCTGCGGCCAGCGCTGGCACCAGGGGGAGGCACTCGCCTTGGCCGTATATGGGCCAGAATGTCTAACGATTTCCGCCATGTTGTGTATACCAAAGTCTTGAAAAGTTGATCACTGCAATCAAACTGCAAGCATGAAGCAGCAGCACTTTTGAGTAGTGTACCTCTCACTAAACTGCACCTCTGCTACCGTACATGCAATTTATATTTCTGGTATACACAACATGGCGGAAATCGATAGACAAAAACAAGTCACCAATGCTCCTTCCAGTATATATTAGAGTTCAGTGGCTGGCACACGTCCTGCGCTAAGCTGACCATCCAACAGGCGCGAGCTCTCTCCGTGTGGCATTGTCAGCAGTGCCTTGGCCGCCCGGCTGCCACTTTGGAACCGCCCACCCAGACGTCAGAAGCCCCACTCTGCGGGATCGCGGCAGGCTTGTCGAAACTCCGCGCCAGCACGAAGGTTATCGCCCGGATTCCGAAAGCTGCGCGGTCTTTAGTCGCCGATTCCCTGTCAGAAGTGGTGAATGAGGCAGTCAACAGTCCAACCTCATCATCATCGTGGTGGAAGTTTCTGTCGTTTGCCTTTGTTGCTCTACGCACACCCGACTCGACCAATAGCGGGGAACGGGGCCCAACACTGGCGTCACACATACGACGTCAGGTGGCCGGGCTAGACTCCGCCGCTCCGCCCTCGCGGACGGTGGAGAGGCGCGCCCCTACTCCACGGACAACGACTCCTGACTCTCTTGCTCGCCGAGTTCGTGCTAAGTGCGCCGACGGGGATATCCGGGCCGGTCTCCGTCTCCTGACCTCCAGCGACACCTTCGTCGACCCTAGTGCCGAGGTCATCGCCGCGCTCCGACTAAAACACCCGCTCGCACCACTCGACCAGAGCCTACCGCCACCTCCCGCGGCCTCCGACCCTCCCCCGCTCACTGTCACGGAGGAGCAGGTGCGGGCCGCCATCTTCAGCATGCCACCAGGATCGTCTGCTGGTCTCGACGGCATCCGGCCATTACACCTACGACAGCTGCTCTCCCGAGAGACTGCCGAGTCCGGCCGGCGCCTCCTCTCCTCCCTGACGGCCCTCACCAACCTGGTTCTGCGCGGCCTCGTGCCAGAGTGTGGTCGCGACGCTCTATTCGGAGCATCACTCTGCGCTCTGAGAAAGAAGGACGGTGGTCTGCGCCCGATAGCCGTTGGAAGCGTGTTCCGCCGCCTGCCAGGACGCATCGCCGCGAGACACATCGCTGACATTATCGGTCCGGAGCTACGCCCCACCCAGCTCGGGGTCGGCACCCCGCTGGGATGCGAGGCCGCAGTGCACGCAGTGCGGGAATTCATCAACTCCGACTCCACCAGCTCAGACACGCCGCGAGTCATGGTCAAAATCGACGTGCGTAACGCTTTTAACACCATCCGACGGGACGTCATCTTGGCCAGGATTCACGAGCGCTGCCCGGAGGTCTACCCGCTGGCCTATCAAGCCTACCACCTCCCAACACCGCTGCACATCGGGGACCAGACGGTACTGTCAGCGACCGGAGTCCAGCAGGGGGATCCTCTTGGACCTGCCGCCTTCGCACTGGGAGTCGACGCATGCGCCCGAGCCATAAGATCGCCTTTGAACGTGTGGTATTTGGACGACGCCACGATCGCCGGCCCGGCTGATGTCGTCCAGTCTGACCTCCACTCACTCGCCAAGGCTCTGACAGAACTCGGTCTGCAGCTGAACCCGGCGAAGTGCGAGGTAGCCATCATCGACGCGGCGCCCCAGCTAGCTCAAAACGCAGCGGTCGACAGCATTCGCAGTGTCCTGCCGGAGATAACAGAAATCCCTCTCCACAGCGTCACTCTGCTGGGCGCACCACTGCAGGACGCCAGCCTCACCGCAGCTGCCAATGGTGCCGCCGAACTCATCGGACGCCTATGCACCCGACTGACGCACCTGGACCGACACACTGGACTTTTCTTTCTCGTCCACTACGCGTCAGCGCCTCGCCTCCAGTACCTGCTGCGCTCAGCGCCCCTGTACAAGGTGGTGCCCGCGCTCAAGCTGGTGGACGAGCTGGTGCGAGAAACTCTGGTCGATATCACAAACGTAAATATCAATGACCAGCTGTGGGAGCAGGCAAAACTGCCATTCAGACTGGGAGGTCTCGGAGTTCGCTCTGTCGAGGACCTGGCACTGCCGTGCTACATATCTTCTCTGCACGCTGCTCTGCCACTCCTCCGCAGCATCTCTCCGGGGCTGCTTCCGGCCAGCGGTGTGCCACCAACCCTGCAGACAGCAATTCACCGGTTTTCTGAGGTGACAGGGACCGAACAACTGCCGCCCGCCTCAGCTGTCAGCAGCCAGCGGGCCTGGGACACCCTGTCAGCCACTGCGATTCGCGATAAGATGGTCAACTCCGCCAACCAGCTGCACCGGGCACGCCTGGTCGCCGCCAGTCAGCCACACACGGCCGCCTGGCTGCAGGCTGTGCCGGTGCCGAGTCTCGGCCTACACCTGGACGAGGAGTCGGTGCGGGTGGCAGTGGCTCTCCGCCTCGGAGCCACAGTCTGCGAGCAGCACCGGTGCCGTCTGTGCGGACGTCAAGTGGATCAGCTCGGCCACCACGGGCTCTCCTGCGTGAAGAGCGCCGGTCGTCTCCCACGTCACGCCCAACTGAATGACGTGGTGAGGCGCGGACTGGCAAGCGCAGGCATCCCCTCCATATTGGAGCCAGTCGGCCTCGACCGGGGTGATGGCAAGCGACCTGATGGCCTAACGCTGTTTCCGTACAGCGGAGGCATGTGTTTGACATGGGATGCCACATGCGCAGACACATTTGCCGACACTGTGCTGATTCAGACCGCCCTAGAGCCTGGTGCCGCCGCTCGGGCCGCAGAAGACAGAAAACGGCGCCACTACTCATAAATCAGCTCCCGCTTCAAGTTCGTGCCCATCGCAGTGGAGACCTCCGGGGTACTCGGCCCCGCCACCTCAAAATTCATCCGCGAGCTGGGCCAGCTCATCACCACCCGTACCGGCGAACGACGCGAGACCGAATGGCTATTACAGCGTCTCTCGATCGCTGTTGTGCGAGGCAACGCCGCCGCGGTTCTCGCCACACCCGCCACAGACCGGGCGAGGGCAGACCGCCGACAGCAGCCACCATCAGACGTGACAGGGGAGCGCACCCGGCCTTCGCCTCCTCCGTCTGTGACGACCGGCCGAGCCTCAGCTAAACAGACAGCAAGGCAGGCCTCACCCGAGTTCTTAGCTGACGAGCCGCTGGCACTCCCGTCGGAGGAGGCCTCTGCACCGCCCAACACCAGACTGTCTCACCACTCACTGCCCGGCAACCCCAGCGAAGACGGCGGCGGGACTGGCAGTGAATCTGACGGCAGACCGCTCGGTCTCACCGGCCTCAGGAACACGGGCAACACCTGCTTCCTGAACACAGTCGTCCAGTGCCTGAGCAACACACGCGCTCTCCACGATTACATCCTGCGCGATGGACGCTCCTCAGATGCCAGCATGCCTGCCGCCGCTACGAAGGGGTCCCTCATGAACACATTCAGCGCCCTGATACGCGACATGTGGACATCCTCGGACGAAACGGAGCGGGTGCTCACCACCGCACCACTCAAGTCGATGATCCAACGGCTCGCGCCACGCTTCATGGGCTCTCAGCAGCAGGACGCGCAGGAATTCCTCAGATATCTGCTGCAGGGACTTCACGAGGACGTGAACCGGGTGACGAGCCGGCCAAAGCCGATCACGACCGACATCGACGACTCACTGAGCGCCAGTCAAAAGTCAATGGAGGCCTGGAAACGTTTCTTGCGCCTGGAAAACTCCAAGTTTGTTGACCTGTTCGTGGGCCAGCTCAAGGCTACCCTGCGGTGCACGGTATGTGGCCACGCATCGGTTACCTTCGACCCGTTCTGGGATCTGAGTCTGCCAATCCCGTCACGAAGTGGCCAGGTGCGCCTACAGGCCTGTTTTGACCTGTTCACCAAAGAGGAGGTGCTCGATGGCGACGAAAAACCGACCTGCTCAAAGTGCCAGAAGCGCCAAAAGTGCACCAGGAGCCTCTCGATCCAGAAGTTCCCTCGTATCTTGGTGGTCCACCTGAAGCGGTTCTCGCCGCAGGAGAGGTTCCGCGGGAAGCTGAACACCACTGTCGACTTTTCGGTGAACGGCCTGGACCTATCGCCCTACTCGGCCGGACAGACGCCCTGCTGGTACAGCCTATACGGCGTGGCGAACCACTCTGGCACGCTGCTCTCAGGACATTACACCGCTCACTGCCGACACCCGTACACGGCAGAGTGGTACGAGTACAACGACTCGCGGGTCCACGTGATGGACCAGAGAAACGTCAACAGCGGAAAGGCTTACGTGCTGTTCTTTGAGCTGGCCGGCTCGAAACACCGCTCCGGCTCGACCCACGTCTAGTCATCCAGTCACGGGAGAGGAGCCTGCGATCGTCACCCGCTCGGGCCCTGTGTAGTCACACCGACCGGCGCACATTCTGCTCGGACAACTCTAGCCAGCGGCCTATTGTGATTTGTGATATTGCGTGTAAGGTGTTGTGAAAAACCAGAACAGCCTTTGGATCTCACTGAAAACATTGGCAATACATTGAACCCATGAAAATGTTTTTGAGTTATAGAACACTTCAACGGTCAATGTCACTTCTGGTTGAAAGCATAAAGCTTTCACCGAATTCTCCTAAAAATGTTTCATCTTTAAATCCATGTCTAGGCATATCATTGTGCTGGTTTTTAGTTTTTACCAGTTTTTGCCACTTTTTGCCGGTTAAAACCGGTTTAAACCGGCAAATGGCATAAACTAGTTTTTGCCGGCAAAAATGCCAACCCTGGGCACAGACCGTTCCCCGTCGCCGGCCGCCGGGCGGGGACGTACCTTTTCGAACAGCCGGCTGGTGGTGGCTCCACTCCTCAGCTCCACGCGCTTGGTGCCCTCCGGCGACTGGATCCGCAGCAGCTGCGGGGGAGGGGGGCGGGGGCGGGTCAGTCACGTGCTACAGCAGCTGCGGGGGAGGAGGCGGGTCAGTCACGTGCTACAGCAGGTGGGGGGGGGGGGCGGGTCAGTCACGTGCTACAGCAGCTACAACCGCTGCGTGTACACCGCATAGTGTACAAGGCTCGCCTCCCTGGGTGGTAGGCATTCCTGTTCCGACAAGACCAGCTAGACTATAGACAGGACCTACCTTGACTATAGACAAGACCTAAATAAGACCTAGACTGAAGTTGAAAAAATGCATCACATCTGCCACGCAAATTCTGCACTTAATCCCCTCTCACTTATGGGGGAGTCGGGTGGGACCCCCTCGGCTTTTTCGCAAATAATTCGCGAAAAAAGCGGCCAATTGTGATAAAACTTTCAGTGCTCTCAAGTAAATCAATTTTACACCTACCTTGGAAAATTCATGATCCTGACCCAAATCAGTGCTTTGACCTCAGACATTTTCTCGAGACCAGGTTTGGACAGAATCGCGGACCCACGTACAGTCCACAGCAGAAGTAATGTGCGGTTTCAGTCATGGGGGTACGTTCTGCTTCTGAAGCTTAGGAACGATTAGTCAGACTACAATGAAACTTTGAATGTAGCTTACATGTATCGTCACCCTTGCAGCTGCAACTTTATCTATCGACGTATTCTTTTCGATCACTCCGCATTAAAAAATCGCCAGTCAAAGCCAACCGTTGAGATTGGTGAAACCGCACATTACTTTAGCGGTGGGCTGTACCTATGCCGGCGCACATTATTCGTGCGTTTTCAAACATTTTGAGAATAAAAACGTGCAAACATGTGAAATGATGCTTGTCCCATGCATCATGGCAGGTGCAAAGGTCGTATGAAGCCATGTCAGGTGAAGGTCCATGATCTTTGGTACCTCGGGTGACATTTTCGAGTTTCACAACTTTTTTGGTTAGTTTTGGAGCTGATGTCGAATTTGGCTCTCTGTTCAACATTAAAAAAATAAGTTTTGATGCTTTTGTCACATGTGATGAAGCTGTCAGTGGCGGTTTACACCTACTATGGAGAGCTGTTGGGATTTCTTATGGTTGACCTGACCTGACTCGACCTACCCCAAATGCATTTATACATCATCTTTGATCCAAACAAATACCAAATTTGAAATCAGCTCCTCATAAAACCCCTGAAAAACCTCCCTTTCAGTTGTTCTAACGGGTCACAATTTCCCGACTTTTGGATCAGTGACCTGACCTGAGCCAGTGACCTGACTCAGAGGCCAAAAGGCTGAGGGGGCAAGGTCCAACGGACCCCTTCCTTGTACGTTAGTGGCTGGCAAACCACCAACATGGACAAGGGTTAGTTCGTGTTAATTAGAAGTTTGGTACTCTCTTAGCAGACGTTGCCCTTGCTGCCACATCTTGTACTTGTTGTTGTTGGGTTAGGGCGCATAGCCTCGTTGGGCTCAAGCGTCCGTAGTTGTTGTCATCAGTGCGCCATTCTTGTCTCGATCGAGTCTGATGTTGCAGTCGGTTGCAGCCAGATGGTTCAGAGCGTTCAGAGGGAAACTAAGCAGATGAAGGAAAATGATAGATTTAGCATGGGGATATACCTACGCGGGCTTTGGATAATGTCCAGGCAGGAAATGTCCGGTGGAGTATAATTAGTAAAAGTTAGTATCTAACATATACCTGGTTAAAAACTTAAAAATAAGAAATAAAAAGGTAGTTTCTGGTTCTTGAGTCATTCAATCAATAACGTTCTTGACACCACATCTGTCCAGCTCCAGTGAGCTATTCCAGTTCGAAAAGATCTTCCGGCAACGTCTGCTCCTGGTACCTTACTCAGTTATCGACATGCGTTGGAGGGTTCATGATCATACCGAACCGCTACTTCGGAACTATGTGACTACTTCTACAAAAAGGAGCCAGATTGAACAAAAGAGTTAAGAAGGTATACATCCAAGAGAAATCGAGAAAAAAAACTACAGTAGCAAACCAGTACAGGCTGCTCTTCATTCATCCACTGACTGCATCCATCTCTCACACCGATGTATCTCCACTCACGCATCCTTCTCATTCAACATTCAATATCCATTCACTCATCCCCAAACAATGCACGACTGTTTACACACATGAGGACGTCCATAAGACCAGCCACAGCACAGAACACAAAACACCAGAGAGACGACAATAAAGTGAACAATCACCGCAAATTACAACAGTAGGAGATCACGTCAATGTGCCAGATCGACGGCAATGCCCTCCGCATCAGTCGCGACAGGGGTTCGCCAATCGGCGGCCAAACTCAACATAAACCAATAATTACACATTTAAATAACTTAAAACACCAAAATCACAACTAGTTCAGCGCATATCATTGCAGTCACAGCTTTTTGAAGAGGTTGATAGCTCGTAGAAACCTGAAAACCTCGTCGATGATGTCCGGGTGATGATCACCCAGAAGAGTTTTAAGGGTAAGTGGAACATTCAATTGGAGGCACTTCCGTACAATCAATTGTCGATGGGTGGCATGCGTTGGGCACTCAACAAGTAAATGTTTGACTGACTGGGGACACATACATCGGTCACATTCAGGTCTGGGCTCTCTATCTATTATATGCCCGTGCGTATACCGTGTATGCCCTATTCGCATGCGACATAACAAAATTTCTTCCCTCCGACTGGTCCGTCTACAAGATGACCATGAACCGACTTCATCCTTGATCAGCTTCAAGTTGGTGTTGGGGTTATACGGCTGCCAGCACTGATTGAACAGGCGACGGACAGACAACCCTATATCGGGATAGTACTCCTTGGGACCCATTTCAGGGACTGTTATTTGTTCCATCGAGATAGCCTCCCTTGCCAGACGATCGGCTAACTCATTCCCAGTGATGCTGCAGTGACCAGGGATCCACAAGATGACAAGTTCACGAGCAGACAAAGTAAGTAATCGATGGCAGGCCTCTAAAATCATGATGATTGTAGGATGGGAAGTGACCGGGCCACGAAGAGCAGTCAGCACAGACAAGGAGTCCGTGCAAATGACGCATCTCATGACACCACTTTCCTGCACATACAGAAGTGCCCGTAGTATCGCGAATGCTTCCGCGGTGAATACAGAGCAGTTGCTTGGCAGCTTAAACCTTGCACGTCTGTCCCCAAGTACATAAGCACATCCAACTCCGTCATGATTCTTTGCTGCCACATCTACGTCTCACGTGCGCCACAATTGTCTTCCCACAGTTAAATATACGACAAAACATAATCTAACCTGACCTAACCCTACCTACAACCTACAACATACCAACCTACAACCTACCTAACTAGATATGGCAGCTCGGGCAACATCTGCTAAGAGAATACCAGAAGTTCTTCCCATTGTTGCTATACTGAATGGAGAATTAAGCCAATGCTGAACTCAATCTGAAGTGTGCTGCATCTTTGTGAAATGATTTCCAACGGGATGAAAATATAGCCTGTGAGCTGTTCTACCGCAGGTATACCGAAAAACTTCTTTTTATCATCGATCAAATAAAAACTCACCATGATGGCAAGGCACGGGATGCCTTCAAAATGCAATTTCCAATGACCCTTGAATTGATATGAGTGGTATTACCTCTTGAAATACCAATGCAGCATTCTGTTATCTGAAAAGGAGAAATCTGTCAGATGAGAACCAAACAACACCAATGATGAAAGTGATTTGCTGTTGATGCCAGAGGATGACAATCAGTAATTTGGGCAGAGGGGGGCCAGCAACAATGAGGGCCAACAACAACACATGCTATCCATGACTCATGAGTGATGATGAGTGAGTGAGCTAGGTGCTGGTAAGGCCTGTTTCTGTCTGTTTCAAGGTATATAAGCTGAATGGCTACTCAGAGATAGCAGATCCAGCTGAACCCCATTTCAACCTGAACAAAGGGAATTATCGGCACATGAATGCTCAACTGTCATCAACTAACTGGACACGTACTGCAGAACTCGAGACTGAAGCCATGTACAGTGTTATCAAGGACACTCTCCTGTCTCTGGCATCGACCTGCATACCCCTCGCCAAGCCAAGGTCAACAAACAGGAGTCTGTATATCAACCGGGAGGCCCTGCGGCTCAAGAAGCTCAAACGCTCTATGTGGTTCCAGTATGTACGCACAAGAGACCCGCTGGACTATGCGCGCTTCACTCGCGCTCGGAATAAGCTCCGTACTCTTACCCGTAATCTCAGAGCAGGTTTTGAGAAGAGGCTAGTCGCAGATATCCGAGAAAACCCCACAAGATTCTGGCGTTACGCTGGCTCACGATTGCGCACCAAAATAAGATTCGAGGACCTCAAAGACGAAGATGGGACGATGGCACGGCAAGACAGTGAGAAAGCAAGCCTGCTTAATCGTTGTTTCCGGAGGGTCTTCAATACTGAATCAGCTGTCTTGCCTTCGCTAACTTCTTCCTGCCTGGGCCCCCGTCTAGAGAACGTGGACATCAGCGCTGCAGCGGTGAAAGGGAAGCTTCTCAAGCTCAATGCGGACGGTGCACCAGGGCCGGACGGACTTCACCCCAGAGTTCTTCGCGAGACGGCAGAAGCGATGGCGGAGACATGGACACGGCTGTTCCGTTCCTCTGTGGACTCTGGCATCCTCCCAGGGGACTGGTGCGTTGATGAAATCGTACCAATCTTCAAAAAGGGCCTCAGGACGTCTCCTCTCAACTACAGACCGGTCACTCTCACAGCAGTCCCCTGTAAAGTGCTAGAATCGTTGATTCGCGACTAGCTGATGGAACATCTTACCCGGACGGGGCAGTTGAGTGACGCGCAGCACGGAATCAGGCCGAGGAAATCCTGTTGTACTCAACTACTCGAGACTGTTGAAGAGTGGACCAGGGGGCTAGAAAAGGGCGACACAATTGATGCTGTTTACCTTGATTTCAGCAAAGCATTCAACTCTGTCCCACACTAGCGCCTGCTTCTGAAGCTGCGGGCCTGCGGCGTTAATGGCAAGCTCCTGAAGTGGGTGCAGGCGTTCCTCACGGGAAGACAACAGAGGGTTCGTGCGAACGGCGCAAGGTCGGAGTGGGCCGAGGTGACCAGCGGGGTACCTAAGGAAACTGGCTTGGGTCCGCTGTTGTTTGTTATCTATGTCAACGACCTGCCCGGCGAAGTCTCATCCTCTATCAAGATGTTGGCAGATGACAAAAAATTTAAAGGAGTGTCAGCCGGGCATCAGACGTTCTCAGCCTTCAAGCCGACCTAGATACGCTTGTTGAATGGTCGGAGCGTTGGCAGCTGCCCTTCAACAGAGCAAAATACAAATCACTGCATCTGGGCCCCTGCAATGGAAGCCACATCTACTGTATGGGTGACACACAGGCCACAGCTGGACCAGACCTCGCTGGAGAAGGACCTCGGGATCTACATCGACCATCAACTCAAGTTCCGTGACCAGGCAGACACAGCGATTTGGAAGGCTTCACGCATCCTGTCTGTGATCCGCCGAAGCTTCGCCCTTCTAGATCAGAACACTCTGCCTCTGCTGTTCCGAACGATGGTGTGGCCTCACCTTGAATACGCCAACTCCATCTAGGGACCCTTCAATCGGGAGGGCCAGAGGGGCGTAGAAAAGGTCCAGGGGAGGGCCACAAAGCCGGTCGCCACCATCCAAAACCAGACATACGAGGAGATGCTCCGGATTCTCGACATGCTGTCTCTCTACCTGTACCACCGCTGTCGCATGGTGACATGATAACTGTCTACCAGGTGCTGAGAAAGGGGGTCGACCTTGAGGTGGAGAGGTTCTTTGTGGCGGCAGTGGCAGGCAACACCCGCGGACACCGATGGAGGCTGTCAATTTCAACAGTGTCGAAACCGAGGGCCGGCTCCCGAGCGCATTGAAATGTCTCCTCCGTCCGCGTCATCAACGATTTGGATTGGAATGCACTACCGCCATCAGTTGATGACGCTCCCAACCTAAACGCATTCAAAGCCAGACTGGACAAACACCGAGCACATTCGAAATGCACAACTCATCTTAACGACTGAGTCAGGGCATTGCAACTGCAAGGAGCTGGATAGGACAGGATCCTTGCGGCCAAGTGGCCTTTCAAAATTCCACACTTCATAAGTATAAGTAAGTATGAGTACCGTATAAGTATATAAAACACCGACAACATTACATTTTACATCAACAACAACCAGTCCACAGTGTTTTTGTGTACAAGCAGGCATTTTGCAGAGTCACTGAACTACGTGTTCTATATAATACCTCATTAGGAACAAGGTCAGTACCAGCAGAAAAATAATCCAATTGACGGTGTTGTTTTGTGCTCATATCACTCAAAGTGTGAACGTAAGCTACTATGACTCAATTCTGAACACTTTTGTATGCGCCACAAACGAACTATTTGTCTTCCTTTTTAGAAGCATTTTCCATTACAAAGTTGAGAATTGATGACGTCCATAATAATTTTAGCAAATGTTCATTGTGCACTGTGCAGCTCACTCAAAATTCAAACCACGTACTTGCAAAATGAATGTTTTAATGTTTTGTTGTTTAACACCCTGAATCATTCTTCGTTCAATCGTAGAGATTCTTTGTATAAGATATACGTCATTTTACTTCATTAAAAAGCTATCATATCACACATATTTACACTTCCTATTTACATCATCCTTGAAAATCGCGGAATGCAACAGTTTCCGCTTCGCGTCGGAACTGGAAGTAGGTTGACGTGGGCGACGAGGGGGATTCCATAGGAATAAATGCGGGGATGCGGATAAGTGCGTGTATGGATATGGGGCAAAAGTGGAAAACGTTCTTTGATAAGCATTGTTCAGTGGCTTAACAAGATCCTCAAACATTTGACAAGCGGATCAAGTTACGCTTGTGACTCAGACTGCGGTGACGTCGCGGCTCTCAAGGCTCAGGCTGAAGCGGCGGACGGTCACGGTACCTTACCACTGCAGTTGTGGTTGTTAGCATTTCAGACCCGTAACTCGTGATTCTAATGCGGTGCACGAATAATGATTATGACCTAACGGCTCTCACAGTGTGAAGTGAGATGTTCTCTTTGTTTTCATTTGTTTGATTGAGCAGTTGTGTGCTGGCTGGCTGCTTTATATTACATAATTACAGTGATGTCGTGATATGAGTGCTCCAGTGGTCTGTTGGAAGTGGTGATAAATTCAGCCAATTTGGCTGCTCCAGTCAGAAGTTTGTGGATCAGAGCTGATCAGAATGTGACCCGGTTTGGCAGTGCATACCTTTGAAGCGAAATGTTTCAGTGGAAGTCGGCATGCCTTGCATGCCTACTAGGTGTTGCGGCAGGCCTTCCCTTGCACTATGGTAAGTTGAAGTTGAGTCATGATGATTTCTTGGAGGAAATAAGCCTGTCTTGTGTGGATTGACTTTTGCTAATGTGATGAACCTGGCCCAGTGCTATTGGATTTAATTGTTTTACACTGTTGTATGCTCAGCTGATACCAATAAGTGACACATGATGTATGTGTTTCAGGCTCTTTGCCAGTTCAGGCAGGCACTGATGTCTGGCCGCTGCCCCTGCTGCTCGGATTGGGCCTTCTGGCAGCAGCAGTGTCAGTCATTGTTGGCTGCGTATGCTGCCATCGGTTCGGAAAGGTGGGTCAACGGTTTGACGCTTGATTCAACTTTGTACCAGATCACACCCCATGCTCTCGTCACCCCCCCCCCCCCACACACACACACACACATACTGTATGGAGTGCCATTGGGATGGTCTGTGTCTTATGAGGCCGAGTTTTTGGTGGTCGGTCTCATGTAGTGGCCGGCGTTAATTCACACACTATCACCGAGGAGCGGGCGGCAGCAGTACGATGATTGAATGGGCTGTGAATTGTGACGGCTGGCGGCCCCGGCTGGACGGGGCCACGTCCCGGGCCCTGTTTCACCGGTGATAGCAGCACGCTACTATCAAATTGCGCGAGCTGACGTAATGTGATGAGGTCACTCTAATGACGTTTCGTGTAATCCGTGAGCTGCGTTTGGAACGGAGTTGCCGTCTCGGTGAATTGCGTTTGATACATTTGTTTGATCGCACGGCCGTGAAGATGTTAGCAGCAATATTTGATGACATCACACAGATTGACGGTGTCATGGTTTGTTGATGTTTCCATGGAAACCCAATTTGACACGTGTGATAGCAGCGTGCTGCTATCACCGGTGAAATAGGGCCCCGCCGGCTGGCCCCGGCTCCCGGACCAGCCGGTTCGGGGCAGCGGTGGACCGCCGCGCCGGCGGGGCGGCCTGTGCCCGCAGACAGCCGCCGGCGGGGCAGTCTGTGCCCGCAGGCAGCCGCCGGTGGGGCGGCCTGTGCCCGCAGACAGCCCCCGGTGGGGCGATCTGTGCCCGCAGACAGCCGACGGCGTGACTCCAGCAGCGCTGGATCGAGCCATTTAAATTGAACGTCATATCGAACTGGGTTTTGCAAACTCCCGTTAACTTGACTTCCGTACCCATCACATGCTCTAGTCAGTAGTCAGCTGGTCAATGGTCAGCTATGGCGAGTGACATCAGCGACCCGAACTGCATTCAACGGTGCCTGCTCCTAGCTGATACATTTCCTCATGATATATATCGTTATCCGCGGACGGATTATGCACGAATCCGTGACCTTACGATTTTCTCAGCATCTGGCATGGGTTAATGGAAAATTTCCTGCACGAAATGTATCGGCACTGAACTTATGACCAATATTGTCTTGTCAATATTGTCTATTAAGCTGCACCTCCGCGGATTTATGAATGGTATCTCGCGTCCTGTCTTGTCGCAACTATTACCCGTCGCACTATTCTCACTTCCTCTGGCTGCCTTCACGCTGGGCCTGCACCCTGTCCTGTCGACCCCCCCGCACCCTGTCCCTGTCCCGCTGAGCAGACCCCTCCCCTGTCCCGCTGAGCAGACCCCTCCCCCTGACCCGCTGACCCTACCCTGCCCCTGTCCCGCTGACCCGCTGGCCCTCCCCTCCCCCTGTCCCGCTGAGCAGACCCCTCCCCTGTCCCGCTGAGCAGGCCCCTGCGCCCTGTCCGGCTGACCGTCCCCGTTCGCTGATCATGGTGTCCAATTGAAGTGGTGCATTCCGGCCTGCCGCGTCGCCGGGACCCGGGTAATGAACGGACGCCAGGGCCGGCAGAGAGCAGTAGCCACTTCCTGCCAGGACGGCCCGGCGACTGAGTCACGGCGTCTGAGTCTGAGTCTAAGTCACACGGCTGTGGTCCCGGCGTCTGAGTCTGAGTCTGAGTCTGAGTCATGGCTGGTCCCGGAGTCTCAGTCTGAGTCACACGGCTGGTCCCGGCGTCTGAGTCTGAGTCGGAGTCACACGTCTGTGGTCCCGGCGTCTGACGGTCTGAGTCACACGGCTGGGGTCCCGGCGTCTGAGTCACACGGCTGTGGTCCCGGCGTCTGAGTCTGAGTCACACGTCTGTGGTCCCGGCGTCTGAGTCCGAGTCACACGGCTGTGGTCCCGGCGTCTGAGTCTGAGTCACGGCTGTGGTCCCGGCGTCTGAGTCTGAGTCACACGGCTGTGGTCCCGGCGTCTGAGTCTGAGTCTGAGTCACACGGCTGTGGTCCCGGCGTCTGAGTCACGGCTGTGGTCCCGGCGTCTGAGTCTGAGTCACACGGCTGTGGTCCCGGCGACTGAGTCTGAGTCACACGGCTATGGTCCCGGCGTCTGAGTCACACGGCTGTGCCCCGGCGTCTGAGTCTGAGTCACACGGCTGTGGTCCCGGCGGCGTATTCGCCAATTGTATTACACGAATCGGCCCATCAACTAGCGACATCTCTAGTGCGACGTCATAGCCATCGGCCACGACAATGCATGCATTGAGGTTAGATTTGAGTTGAGACTTTTTTCAAATTGTATATGGCTATCAAACATGTATGTGTCGCAGTAGCCGAGTGGTTAGAGTCTCGGTGTGGTGGACGAAAGGTCGGCGGATCGATTCTTGCTTTAGCGATTCTTTTCTCTTAAAAAGAAGTCGGTCGTAGACGCGCATTTTTGGCCCCTACGTTCGCACGCCAATATCGTACGCCCAATAAATCTCTGACAAGTATTCATCTGATTAAGGAATAAGTTGCAAAAGAACTGCAGTTGCAGTCTATACCTGAACTACCAATTTTGTTACGGCACTGTCGATATTCGTCAAAGTCGGAAGAGCTATTAATTATGAAACACACTCGAATGACAACGGATTCCTGTATTATTTCATCGATCAGATAAGACATGTATAGAGATAAATTGATAACAGCCCGCCGTGAGCATGCAACTTAACAACCAGTCCCAAGTTATCTTCATAAAGGTCTAATATACCTAAATTTTTTGACTTTAACTAGATTCCAACTTCCAAGTAAGGGGACTTAGGAATCCCCCTGGCGGCTGAAATGTAAGAGTTATAGTTAGGGCATAGCTCCTATAGATGACGCTCTGACGGCTGGAAACTGATAATCTCGTCCCGTGATTACGCTAACAGCTATGCCGAACTTTTTTGTGCATGGTGATTCTTACACGAAAAGCTATGCTTACCAGCGTGCGATTTTTACTTTTCATCTTAGTTTTCGCTACTTTTAGGTACTTTACCTTGCCAAGTGCCCACCTACTTTCAAAAGGTCAGCGCCGCCCCTGTCAATGCTGCGTGCTATCACCCATTAGCAGCGAGAAATATTGATAAATGAATGGCCATTGCCCAGCACCATTTGTCTTTCCATTGGCTACGTTCGCATAGTATGCAGTATGCACTATGCATTAGTGATGTCAATCACAGAAAATCAGAACACCGCTACCAAACCAAATACAAACAAAGACCATTGGAAAATACCGAAACCGAACCAATCGGTTGGACTGCAAATATCTATCTTATGCAACATATTCATTAGAAGAATGCCTACGTCTGATTTCTTACGTGCACGCCGTTGCAAATGTATAAAAAACGCACAATGACAGATGACACGAAAATCGAAGTCGCCGAGTGGATTCGAACCACCTACCTCTGGATGACCAGTCCGATACTCTAACCACTTCGCCACGGCGTCAGTATGTTCCAAATAGCTTAAATGTCATTAAATTAAAACCTAGCTTCAATAGACGCCACCAAGGGCGAGGACCGAAAGTATGACGCCACGCTGACGTCACTCAGGAGGCACGCTATTGGTCGGCCGATTCGTGTAATACAATTGGTGAATACGCGTCCCGGCGTCTGACGGTCTGAGTCACACGGCTGTGGCTGGTCCCGGGCCCGGCGTCTGAGCCTGAGTCAGAGTCACACGGCTGTGGCCCCGGTGTCGGGGCTAGGAGCGGGTCAGACAGACACCTACCAATGGTAGGCTGCAGGGCAGCCTGTCCGACGTGCTCCTGAGCTGACGCTGGTCGGGAGGTGGCTCTGACCGGCACTGGCTCTGCCCGCGGCCGTGCCGGCGTTTTTCCTCATTGAGGCTGGCCCACGGTAATGGTCGGATCCAAACGGGCGCCGATTTTCTCAGGACTGGGGAAGTCGGAACCTGCCCGCAAGCTATTCAGCCATGGCCGGCTGGGGTGACTGTCAACATGTTTGAGGATTAGGCTTAGCTCGACTCGACGGCTTAGTCAGCTGGATGGAATTCCAATGGAATGTTTAAGTAGTGAAACATTGAAGGAGCTAGGTGTTGTTTGGAACATGCTTGACCGGGACGAAAATTCGCAGGAGGCGGAACAAGTATAGGATGTGTCTGGTGGAGCCTGCCGGGAGGAGGCGGATCATTGAGAATCCCCTGTCGTTCCCTGACCAATGACCATCTCTGGCGCCTGTCGTGGCTCGGACAGATCACTGAGAATCCCCTGCCGTTCCTAGTCCATCGCTGCTCGCTCCGGTCTCGTTTGTAGTGACTAGTGAATGTCGATAAATGCGCCATCTGTCAGAGCCGCCGCCGTCATAGACGGTAAATATACACAGGATGACGGCGTCGGCGGTCGGTGTGACGTCACTGGACAAAAACGGTGAATGACGTCAGAGCGGCGGGAAGACGTGACGCGATTTTGTGACCCGCCCGCTCATTACAAATGGTCGTGGCTAGGGAAAGGTTGAAGGCTCAAATACCTGCCGAGAGTGTGTGCCCACCCGCGCCGTGCTGGCCGGCTGAACTGCTGCATTGGCAGTCGATGGTCGATGGTCGATAGGTATCCCACTGACACTACCATGCCGTCTGCGGCGCGATAGGGCGGTCTGTGCCGCCGCCGCCGCTGGCTCACACGACTACAGGGCCCACACATACTGGGCACGAAACTGTCGCGAAACAGTCCTCACATACTGGAGTCAACTGTGTGCTAACGACACTGCCCCGTGGCAGCCCACGCATACTGCTCTGTGTGCTAACGACACTGGCACGTGGAAGCCCACACATACTCCACTGTGTGCTAGCGACACTGGCACGTGATAGCCCACGTACGGGTCGTGAGTCGGACTGTCTCCCCGCCCCGCCCCTCCCCGCAGGACGGGTGGTTACCGTCCGGCTCGCCCCCCCCCCCCCCCCCATGACGTTACCCGGGGCGCCACAGAAGCCCTCATCCCTCGGGAGTCGGGGTTCACCGATAGTCAGTAGCCAATCTCTGGCCACTCTGCTTCCGACGCGCCCCTGCACCGGGACAGGCCGGTGGTGACCAGTGCCTGTGGTTGCCGCCGGGACAGGCCGGTGGTAACCAGTGTCTGTGGTTATGGTTACCGCCGCGACAGGCCGGTGGTAACCAGTGTCTGTGTCTGTGTCTGTGTCTGTGTCTGTGTCTGTGTGTCTGTGTGTCTGATTGTGCCTGATCGGATGGTTCTGTGTCGGCAGGGCCCCCCTGCGGCCATCCAGGGCTTCAATAACGCCACGTACGACCCGACGCCGGCCGGCGAGCTCACTCTGTTCCCGCCCGTGTCGGTGGTGTCGGCGGCGCCCACACCGGGCCGGCCGCAGTTCGAGCCGCTGCCAGAGCTGACGGCAGCCGCGGCGGCGGCGGCGGCGGCAGCCCACCCACGGCCGGCCATCTACAACCTCTCCGTCTCCAGGGGGTTCTCCGCCAAAGACTGGTTCGGTGAGTACCTACCTACCCGCGCGGAGTACACACGGCGGAGCCCGCAGTGGTACCCGCAGCGAGTATGTACCTATGGAGTACACGTACACGCGGCGGAGCCCGCAGTGGTACCCGCAGCGAGTACCTACGGAGTACACGTACACGCGGCGGAGCCCGCAGTGGTACCCGCAGCGAGTACCTACTGAGTACACGTACACGCGGCGGAGCCCGCAGTGGTACCCGCAGCGAGTACCCACGGAGTACACGTACACGCGGGGCAGATCCCGCAGTGGTACCCGCAGCGAGTACCTACTGAGTACACGTACACGCGGCAGAGCCCGCAGTGGTACCGGCAGCGAGTACCCACGGAGTACACGTACACGCGGCAGATCTTGAGCAGGTGGCTGGTGGTATGGACTGCCGAGTCATGGACTGATTGTATGTGTCGTGGGAGAGACCTGGACATAGACGAACAGTGCGGAGCTCAGTGTGTAAAAGATCGATGATGTTTTACTAGCTTAATCGACCGCCGTTTGTCTGCTGACCGCTTGTCGCTGAAGCCGAGTTAGAGGAGGATTTGGGCGGGCAGGTCTGCTCTATAAGGCCGTCGGTGCTCCGGTATTGGTCCGGCCGTGGTCCGGTACTGCTCCGGTAGGTATTGGTCAGTGCTCTGATATTGGTCCGGCCGTGGTCCGGTACTGCTCCGGTATTGGTCAGTGCTCTGGTGTTGGTCCGGCCGTGGTCCGGTACTGCTCCGGTATTGGTCCGGCCGTGGTCCGGTACTGCTCCGGTATTGGTCAGTGCTCTGATATTGGTCCGGCCGTGGTCCGGTACTGCTCCTGTAGGTATTGGTCAGTGCTCTGGTATTGGTCCGGCCGTGGTCCGGTACTGCTCCGGTATTGCCTCCGTTGTGCTCTAGTGTTGGTCCGGTTGGTACTTCGCGGTGTCTATACCGAGTGCCGGGGACCCCGCGGCTCTCCGACGCCGGGCACTTTGTCCCCGTCCGGTGCTCCGTGAGCGGGTCCAATGCTCCGTGAGCGGGTCCAGTGCTCTGGGAGCGGGTCCAGTGATCTGGAAGCGGATCCAGTGCTCTGGGAGTGGGTTCCCTCGTCCAGTGCTCTGTGGGAGCGGGGCGCTGCCCGGCTCCCAGCGCCGGCCGGTCGGTCGGCTGAGGCCGCCACGGCTCTCCCGCCGACCTTGGACACGGACTGTGCGCACCGTGAGAGGGTGGACGGGGCACCGTAAGAGGGTGGACGGGACGGGACACCGTGAGAGGGTGGTCGGGCGGGGCACCGTGAGAGGATGGTCGGGGCACGGATACAGCCACTCGTCAGTGTTTGGACACTTTATACCTCGCTACACTGTAAGTGTTGGAAGGAACCACTGGTGTGTTTAGTTAGCTGTTGGTGCTGCAGTTGGTTAGAGGAAGTGTTTCCCATTTCCGGCTTGTGAGCATAGGTGGGCACGATCCGTTCCTCCGTTCCTCCGTTCCGGAACGCCGTTACAATTTTTAGGAACGGAGGAACGGACTCGTTACATATTAAAAAGGGTAACGGACCAAGTAACTTCCGTTACATTGGTTGTTCGTTCCTCCGTTACACTTTACAGTTTGGTCCGTTCATTCGTTCCTCCGTTACTTTTCGTTGTCCGAGCGGGTTGATCTTTCAGCTAACCCACAGACGTCAGACATTAATGCAGCAGCGGAATAGTGGATTATTGAGCAGCCCTGACTTGAAGAAGGAAGATGCCCTTAGTATACTGGCCTTCCGAAATGAGCCGGCGTTGCAGTATGTGTTCGTACAGTTCAACACGGGCGTCCCTTCAAGCGCCTCAGTAGAGCGCGTGTTCTCAATGGGAAAAGATGTGCGCTACATGCAAAAAGGGCTACCCTCTCAAAAAGTGGCAGCAGAACATCTTCAATTAAGGGGGGAGGCACTGCCGACTTTTGGTCCCATTCTTTCTATGCAACGCACATAGGGCTTATGTTAAAATGTCAAAATCAAAGGGGGCACGGTGCGCCGGTGCCCCTCCCCCGTTCCGCCGCCTATGCTCTCAGATGCCAAACCTGGAACGTCTAGTGTTCGTGAAGGGCAACCGGCATCTGGTCGGGGACAAGTGATGCGCACCAGTACCTACCACCAGACGTTCCAAGGTTTAGTGTCCAACCAGTGCCCGCTGTCTTGGTAGATTTGGTGGGCATTCCCCTTTCTCGGTAGATTTGGTTTGTATCAGAATAGTCTCTAAAATGTGTGAAATACACAACATTTTAACGTTTTTTTTTTATTTTGCTGTAACGGAGTAACGGACTAAAGAACTTCCGTTACATTATATGCAGAGGAACGGAGGAACGAGTAACGGAAGTCACGTTTTGAGGGAACGGAGGAACGAGTAACGAAGTTACAATTTTGGGGAACGATGCCCACCTATGCTTGTGAGTTATCAAAGTCACTGTGTGGACTCACGCAGTCGTTCCGTGAGCTCCCACAGTAGTTCTGTGGACTCGCGCAGTCGTTCCGTGAGCTCCCACAGTAGTTCTGTGGACTCACGCAGTCGTTCCGTGAGCTCCCACAGCAGTTCTGTGGACTCACGCAGTAGTTCTGTGGACTCCCACAGAAGTTCTGTGGACTCTCACACTCCCACAGTCGTTTTGTGAGTTCCAACAGTTCTGTGAATTATCACACTCGTTGTGAGTTCCCCCGCCGACCTGTGAGCTCCCACAGCCGAGCCGGCAGGGCTCTGTGCCTCGGTGTACCGATGATCGGTTGAAGGGGGGGGGGGGGTGCACAGTGGATCTGTCGTTGGAGCCGGCAGATCCGCGCACCTGCCCATGAGCCGCGACCCGGGCCCGACACTTGTGCCGATGGCCTTCTGAGTTCTAGGTCGGTGCATTCTATGTATGGAGCGTCCCAGTGCGGGGAAGGAGACTTCAATTTTCAGAAGTAGGTAATCGGCAGCTTATTAATCTGTCGTCTGTCAACATGAAGATAATAAACATCTAGGTATGTGATACTTTACAATACTATGCCACACGACGATACGATTATCGGCTCAGAATGACACTAAATGTGCGTGCACTGTGCGTACGCCACGGAATGGGAGCTGTGCGGCGATGTAGCTCCAGTGACCCACTCCACCCAAACCCCTCGGCTCCTCGCACCTCGGCGTGTGCTTGCCTTCCGACGTCGGCTCCAGCTAGCGGGCAGTTTTCTATTGCTAACGGGCCCGCAGTCGGTTGAACTGTGCCAGCAGTTGTTTCTGGACACATTTTCAGTAATTTCCAGCACTGTGCGGCAGCAAGGTGCTGTGTGTCTGCCAATATGTGGCTGGTTAGCGCCCCCCCCCCCCATCCGTGCAACCTGGCTGGCGCCGGAACCCCGGCTCTCCACCGGCGGGCTGCGCTTGACCGTCAACTATTTCATGTAACGGAAGTTGGCACAGATTCAGCACAGATTCAGCACAGCACAGATTCGGTAGGGGGAAAAAAGGCCCCGGTAGAGGGAACCCTTTATGACCCGTTTTCCCCTAGAAATGACGTCACAAAGAGGTAAAAATGGGTATCAATCGAAAGCTCTCGTTTACCCAGACACAGTCCTACAGGAAAATTTCACTTTTTCCCCATAGGAAAGTTTGTACGGGAAAATCAAAATTTTGGGTCAATGGGGGGTCCCCCCCGATTTCGTTCAAAATCGGCACACAGGTGCCCCACCACCAGCCGAGAAACTTTCCCCAAAACGGTCCCCGTTGCATTGACGTTTAAGGCCCGTAAAGCCCCCTAGACTCGTAAAATATCCGTAAAATCGCCTTTGTACGGACAAAAAAGTGGTGCTATGGTAAAAATGGGTATCAATCGAAAGCTCTCGTTTACCCAGACACAGTCCTGCAGGAAAATTCCACTTTTTCCCCATAGGAAAGTTTTTACGGGAAAATCAAAATTTTGGGTCAATGGGGGGTCCCCCCCGATTTCGTTCAAAATCGGCACACAGGTGCCCCACCACCAGCCGAGAAACTTTCCCCAAAACGGTCCCCGTTGCATTGACGTTTAAGGCCCGTAAAGCCCCCTAGACTCGTAAAATATCCGTAAAATCGCCTTTGTACGGACAAAAAAGTGGTGCTATGGTAAAAATGGGTATCAATCGAAAGCTCTCGTTTACCCAGACACAGTCCTGCAGGAAAATTCCACTTTTTCCCATAGGAAAGTTTTTACGGGAAAATCAAAATTTTGGGTCAATGGGGGGTCCCCCCCGATTTCGTTCAAAATCGGCACACAGGTGCCCCACCACCAGCGGAGAAACTTTCCCCAAAACGGTCCCCGTTGCATTGACGTTTAAGGCCCGTAAAGCCCCCTAGACTCGTAAAATATCCGTAAAATCGCCTTTGTACGGACAAAAAAGTGGTGCTATGGTAAAAATGGGTATCAATCGAAAGCTCTCGTTTACCCAGACACAGTCCTGCAGGAAAATTCCACTTTTTCCCCATAGGAAAGTTTTTACGGGAAAATCAAAATTTTGGGTCAATGGGGGGTCCCCCCCGATTTCGTTCAAAATCGGCACACAGGTGCCTCACCACCAGCCGAGAAACTTTCCCCAAAACGGTCCCCGTTGCATTGACGTTTAAGGCCCGTAAAGCCCCCTAGACTCGTAAAATATCCGTAAAATCGCCTTTGTACGGACAAAAAAGTGGTGCTATGGTAAAAATGGGTATCAATCGAAAGCTCTCGTTTACCCAGACACAGTCCTGCAGGAAAATTCCACTTTTTCCCCATAGGAAAGTTTTTACGGGAAAATCAAAATTTTGGGTCAATTGGGGGTCCCCCCCGATTTCGTTCAAAATCGGCACACAGGTGCCCCACCACCAGCCGAGAAACTTTCCCCAAAACGGTCCCCGTTGCATTGACGTTTAAGGCCCGTAAAGCCCCCTAGACTCGTAAAATATCCGTAAAATCGCCTTTGTACGGACATAAAAGTGGTGCTATGGTAAAAATGGGTATCAATCGAAAGCTCTCGTTTACCCAGACACAGTCC